TATAAATTTCTCAAAAAATTACTTTTAGATACAGTTTTTGAATAAATTTGGCAAAAAATTTTAAAAATCAATTTAGGGTATAATTTTTTTTGAAGAAAACTGACTTTTTTAAAAGGACAAAAAGGAAAAATTTGTGCTTCGTCAGGGTTGCCACTCAACCTGGAATACCTGGAAACAGCATAAATTCCAGGGAAAACCTGGAAAACTCAGGGATTTTTTCAAATTTTCATAAAATTTAGTGAAAAATCAGGGAAAATGATTTTTATTTTTGAAATTTTGTACAATAATTTTTTTTTCAAAAATATTTTGCTAATACATATAATTATAAGTTTGTAAGATGAAGGTGTTGTTGTATAGGTTTTAGTTTGTCAAATATAAAAAATTGTATTTAAGTAAGGAAAATAATAATCTCATTGATGAACTGGAAAGAATATAGAGAAAGTCAGGGAAAACGCTAGGAATTTAAAAAACTAAACTCAGGGAAAAATTTAATTTACACAAAAAAAAAAACTTTTAAAATTCTAGTGGCAACCCTGTCTGTTATGCTCTTGCCTATTATGAATAAATTAAAGGTTATATACATGTTTTTTATCTAGCTGATAGTATCTCTATAGTCTATATATCTTTTTTCTTACTCGCGGTTAGATGAAAGATTTGTTTTTTTAGAATTAAATTTTTTTTTTAATTTTGCAAAATAGCATACATATATATGTGTTACTTTATTTCTATAAATATAAAATATTTTGAATTTATTAATAATGCAAGTTCATAGGACAGCATGGTTTATGGTCTTATGAAAATGATCTGCTTTTTGTTTATAATTTTTTTGGTGAGTAATGCTCTCAATTTGATGTTAAATTTATTACTTTTTTGTCAAAATATTGTAATTATTGGTCTTGGGTTGAAATGACATAAACCAAGTTTTAATAAATTGGTCTATATAAAATCAAAGTTAGTTGTAGACCTGCAGAATTACTTGAGGTTTGAACTATTTCTTTTTCAACCCTTTGATTTTATCACTGATTTATAAAAACTTTATATCCAATCAAAGGAAACTTTTGTCAATTTTGTTATACCACTGCAATAACATGCTTGCAGCAATTTATAAGACAAGTTTATGTTATTACTTGCATTTTAAATCCCATTGAATTAAACATGAAAAGTTGTATAATCCACAGAAGTATAGTTTACCAGTGCAATCTATATTGTGTGAACACCAAATTAAATCACCTAAAAAAAAAATGATGCAAAATAGCTTTGAAATGATGGTGCACTTTTTAGAAATACTTTTCAAAATATCTCAAAATGTGGAAATCAAAATATTTTACTAGCAAAAAATAGTCATGAGACAAATTAATTTTCAAAACAATTGCAAGTGTTCCAATTAAAGCGCTGCTTAGAGAATAATGAGGAGTAGTGAGGTCACAGAACCCAGCCTCATTTGCTCACTACTTTAAAATAAACTTATTTAAAACACTCTGCACAAATATTACCAGTTGGATTTTTAGATTCGATAATAATATGATCAGTGTTTGAGAAATAAACAAATTTTTTTGCTGTTAGTAAAGGTCGTAATCTCTACCATGCTATCTTGTAATGTCTTCCAGAACAAACATGGACTTATCAATTGAAGCATTATTAACTTGTCAACATTTTGTCAAAATTTAACATAATTAACATAATTTAACAATACTCTACAAAATTAAAAAAAACAATGGTGAATAACATATTTGCATACATTCTGTTATTATTCTAGTATTAGTTTTTGATGATAAAACAAACAACAAGCATAATCATCATAAAGTACTGTGCGATAATATTTCTAATAATTATACAAAAGTTCCTGAAAATCCTGTAAATGTGATTAATTTAGAAGGTAAAAACGTTGTTAAAATAGTTAAAATTAATTTATTGCTAAAATAAATAAGTTGCTAGAATTGAATAAATAAAATAAAAAAAAGTACTGAAAATTGCAATTGCAAACAAAAAGTTGGTTTCCCTATGAATAAAAATGCTTATCAAAAAATATTATTTACAAATGTATTGTTTTTTCACAAAATAACTTTGATAAACAATATTTTGGCTTAACCAAAAGCAAATGGAAAAAATCTTACGTAAACACAAACAATATGTTAAACATAAAAAAATACTCAAAAGAGACTATGCTGTCAAAATATATTTGGCAATTAAAATAAAAAAAGTATAGGTTTTAAGTTAAACTGCTCTATTCTGAAAACTGCACATGCCAATAATATTTTCATGAAATGTATGCTATTTTTGCAAGAAAAATTTGAAATTGTTACCTATATGGATAAAGAAGACATTATCAAAAAATCCTTCTAAAATTGTATAACAAAGAAGCCACTTTTCTGTACATTTTCTTTATGTATAAGGCTCCTATTATGTTTTTATTATTGCTCCTATTAATTTTAAAATGTTGAATAAAATCTCCACATAGTCTACTTTCTTCTAATGTTGTTAATTCCATAATATTTAACCTAGCTTCATAAGATAATTTTTTAATTGTAGGTATAGTTTTAATAGTTTGGTTGCTCTTTATTGGATCATCTCAATTTTGTCTATGTCTTGTAGGAATGGTCCTACAACAAGACCATTCCTGTTGTCCAGGAATGGTCTCCTGGACTGCAAACTCAAGATATGGATGTATGAATGTTGTATAAAGCTTTTTTACTATGTTTACGCCTAAATATTTAAATGTTCTCTTTATGATACCTAACATTCTGCTTGCTTTGCTAGTTACTGAATCAACTTGTGAGTGCCATTTTAGATCCGATTGAACCATTATACCTAAATCACGTTCAGCTTCTGTGTTACATAATGTGTAATTGTAATTGCAATCAATATCAGTCATTATAAATGTAGCATTTGAATTTCTTTTCCCGATATGCATAACTTTGCATTTTTCATAATTAAATGTTGTGAGCCAGATAGATGACCATGCCATTATATTATTAATATCATTTTGAAGGCTTATTGAATCATTTGGATTTTTTATGTTTATTATTTTACTATCATCAGCGTTAAGTTTGATAGGGTTTTTGACTTCATCTGACAAATCGTTGATGAAAATCAAAAACAGCAGTGCTAATAAGACTGATCTCTGTGGTAAACCACTGATAACTGGTAGCCAATCTGAAATAGTGTTGCCAAGGACCACTCTCTGTTTTCTGTTAGTTTTCTATCCATTTTAGGTAATTTCTCACGATACCATATGACTGAAGTTTAGTGATCAAATGAGAGTGTGCACTTAATCAAAAGCCTTTTAAAAGTCTAAATATAACATATTAACTGTGTGGCCATTTTCTAGTGCATCTGTTTTGATATTAAGAGTTTCCAATAGGTTTGTTGTGCAGCTTTAATTTTTTTTGAATCCATACTGATTTTTTTTTAATAAGCTGTTTTTTGATAATCCATAATTTTACCTTGATTGATTCCAAAACTTTACATAGGATAGAAATCAATGAGATTGGCCTGTAATTAGATGCATTGTTTGTATTACCTTTTTTAAAAATTAAATTTTTTTTTTATTTTAAAGTTTCATTATGTGATAAACTTTTTTTAATTCACTTCATTGATGCATAAATTGTATGATGTGAGCTATACCTTCATTTTTTACACATTTTTAGTTTCATTTTACAGTAAAATCAATTGTTGTCTTTTATATACTAGATTAAAGTTTTTATTGTATTATTATTTTCCGTTGTTAATTAAAAACATTCTGTTGTTAATTAAAAACAATTCTTTTGTTTCTCTTTCAATTTTTTTAATGAATATATAATATATATTTATTAAATTAAATAAATATATAATATAATTTTTAATATCTATCTATCTATCTATCTATCTATCTATATATATATATATATATATATATATATATATATATATATATATATATATATATATATATATATATATATATATATATATATTAGTAGAAAATCACTTAGCAAAATTTTTTCTCATTTAACACTGTGTTTCATCAATAAAGACTCATCAGAAATGCTTTATTGATGAAACACAGTGTTAAATGAGAAAAAATTTTGCTAAGTGATTTTCTACTAATTTGTAATTGCTCTGTTCTTTTAAGAACATTGAGCACTCTTTTTGTAGAATACATTTTAAATTGTTTAAATATATATATATATATATATATATATATATATATATATATATATATATATATATATATATATATATATATATATATATATATATATATATATATATATATATATATATATAAAACGGTATAGCTAAAGGCAAGCAGAAAAAAGTGAGCAAATGCTTATCAAAATGCGCTTTAGTAAGTATATATATATGTATATATATTGTTAAATATAAAACTATATCAACCAAATCTCCTGCATATCTATTCGAACTCCTAGAAATCTGAATTTCAAAACACATCATCTATCAAAAACTTATCTAGGCTTGAGATCTTTCTCCATGACTGCATCTTGAATTTGGAATGGCTTGTCTATAACCTCAACCACTTTAGAAACATTCAAAAAAGACTAAAATAGGAACTTTTTGTAGACGCTTTCTTGAACTTTCTCAGTGCTTCTTAATTATTTATCATTATTGTGATTGTTGTAAATGATTTTAATTTATAATAATAATGATAATAATAATGATAATAATAATGATAATAATAATAATAGTTATATATATATATATATATATATATATATATATATATATATATATATATATATATATATATATATATATCAGTCCTCAGAATTAGTGTCAGCATTTAGCAATGCCGAACTTAAAGTGTTTAAGATCAGCAAAAAATTGCCGATCTCCTTTCTATGTCTTATGGTAAGACCATTGTATCTAATTTTTTTCCGTCCTGATTCTGACCTCTAAAGGATTGAGGTAGGCAAATTATTGTCGACTTCATTTTTCCTAATTCTGAGGGTTGATATGTAAATACATATATATAAAGCAATTTAATTATACTTTGTATAAAGGGAGCATGAAAACAAACCAATCTTCGAATTATGATCAAGTTGTTTTACACACATGTCAATCAAGCGTCTGCAAAGATGCTGTAAAGTTTACCAATGCTGACAAGGTTATTTTAGATCCGGATATTTGTGCAGCAGAGAGCAAAGAGCCTCCTCCTTTCTTTCTTTGTCTAAAGTGTTTTGGTGCGATTGAATATAAAAGCGTTCTATGTCTTGATGTAATACAGCCTGCAACCCAAGTATCTCAAGTATGTGATAATAATGACTGTCGATTTGGCTTTATGAAAGCACTCTATTTTTGTTTTTCATTAGATTGTGCTATAAAAAATGAACATAAACCAATGAGGTTATGTGTGGACTGTGATGAAAGGTATTTATAAATTAGTTTTATTATTTTGAATAAATTGTTTATAACATATACAAGTCTTCTCAGGTGAGGCTTGTAGTCACACACTTTATATGACCATGCATATAGTATTTTTTTTTTTTGACAACTTAAGCACGGTTTTTTTCATATTTCGATAATTTGCATGTTTAAAAAATGCGCTGAAAAAACCAAACTAATTTAAAAAGAAAATTAAAAATAAACAAATCATAAACTGAAAAAAAAATTTTTAAATAATTAAATTTAAATTAAATAAGCTTGGATTAAATTACTTTGAAACTTGATGTTTTCTAAATTCAATGAAGTGAAACACTTTTACATTGAAATAAAAACATATATTAATTTTTCTGTCGTTCTTCTGTTGTTGTCTTTTTTTAAATTCAAATAATATTTCATTAAAGTGAATAATAGTTATTTTGATAGTAAAGTTTGAATTATTCTTCAACAATTTTTTAAACAGTTCATAAATTATTCATTAAAATGTTTATGTGGATTTTAAAATATTTGAAACATAATGATCAGGGATTAAAATCTTACTGTGATACAGTATACCCCGTGGGGATACAATGTAAGGGAACTTGGGAGAATTTTTCAAACTTAACTGTTATCATTTGGTTCATGAATTTAACTTTTTAATAAAAAGTAGAGTTGTCACAATCAAACAAATGTAATTGAAAAAAATAAAATAATTGATCTTAAAAAAAAAAGAAAAAGAAGTATTTAAAGTATTGTATCATTCTAATAATTTTTTTGAAAATTTTTATGCTTTCAAACTACTGTTTTTATTTTAAAAATTTACATGCATCAACTGACAAATATATTGGACATGCTAGGGAGTGCCGCTACATTGACTAAGTGTTTGAGCAGCAATCATTTTTTTCATTATCCTTTAATTTTTTATTTCTTTTTCTGAAATTGTTTTATGTAATAAGGGTAAGCAAAAAAAGTAAGCAATTGCTGATATAGGCACTATAGCATATATATATATATATATATATATATATATATATATATATATATATATATATATATATATATATATATATATATATATATATATATATATATATATATATATATATATATATATATATATATGTATATATATATATATATATATATATATATATATATATATATATATATATAATATTTCTATATATAATATTTATTGCTCTAATAATAGAGCAATAAATATATTACTCTATATTAAGCATTCTCATGCTCCCTCTCTTTCTCTCTCTCTCTCTCTCTCTCTCTCTCTCTCTCTCTCTCTCAATACTCTCAATATAAATATATATATTTATATATATGTATATATATTATCTACATTAATTGTATTAATATACTTAATTATATACATAATCTACATTAATTGTATTAATATACTTACCATTATTTTTTTATTTTTTAGTGACTCTTGATTTTAAATTTGACTCTTTATTTAACAGTGACATTCTTTTAAGTATATAACTGCGCCCCCACCCCCTACCCATCCACCCACCCCTGTTTAATATTTTCATTATAGGCATTTATAATCCCTATGTTTGAGAAAATAAGAGATTATAAATGTTTGGAGTAAAAGTTTTTGGGAAAACTTATACTGCATGAAAGTAAAACTTGTACTGCATGATTCCTCAATACAGGTGGGATGGTAAGATGTAAACATTATATATATATATATATATATATATATATATATATATATATATATATATATATATATATATATATATATATATATATATATATATATATATATATATATATATATATATATATTTGTATTTATATTTATATTTATATACACATATATGTGAGTTTAGATTTAGTTTTTGGTTTGATTTTTAAAATGGTATTATTTTAAAAAAAGGTTGCATTCAAAGTTAAAAGTACCTCATGCTAATCATTGTTGTTTGCAAGAAGTATGGTCGATTCCCAATCCTAAAAGAAGTTATGTAATTGACACAATTATTAGGCTGTGCAATCAAGCACAACCTGATTTTTCAGAAAAATATTCACAATTAGAGTAAGTATTATATATTGTTCTAATTATATATATATCAAACAAACCATAGTTAATGATAGTTTCATCAGCAGATCAATAATCAAACCCAAATAATAAGAGTTTATTTAGCAAAGCAATAGTCTAGTCAATTTTTAAGGAAAATGTTATATAAATTTATATTTATATATATTTATTAGATATAGTATACATTTTCAAAATATACATGATCAATCTTTAATTTTGATAATGTGCTAAAAAGTACGATACTATAACATTTAAAGATTGCATCAGTTGATATCCCCTTCTTTATTTAAAGTTAAGATATTACATTCAGTTACAGAAATATTTGAATATAGGCTACATTCAAATGCTTCTTTAAAAATTCTTATGTTATCATGAAATATTTATGGAATACAGAGATTTTAGTTAAAAAGGTTTAATGGTCACCTTGAATTAGGAGCTAACAGAGTTGTTACTGGGGGTTAGGGTTTTTCTAAATTTTGTATTTGACTTAAAATGGAAAATTAAAAATATCAAATAAAGTTTTATATGGTTTTAATATATTATATAGATTTAGTGATATATTTTATTAGGCTTGAAGTTGATGTGCAACTAGTTAAAAATAGACTTGCTGATAGCTATGATTATATGGCTAAAATGGCCCAAAGTATTCATGGAATATACCTCTTAAATGCAATTTGCACAATACCTCCTTCATCTACTTTTGAGGTAGAAGACCTCGGAAAACTGCTTGCTACTGCAATTGTTTGGATTGAAACAGTAGAGTATACAAGTAATTTTCAAATCAAAAATTTAATCAAGCAGTACCGTCAGCAGACTTTATCATGGATTATGCAACTTATGAAATTTAATTCTGAGCTGTACATTTCATGTTTACTTCCTGATCCTCCATTATATGCAAGAGTGGGTCATCCATGGAACATGCTTGCAAGTGTTGTAAGAAAAGATTTAGAACTCATGCAACGATTATCTAAACTCATTGTGCATGAGTTGATACCTGAAAATGTATGTCAAGAGTTTTAATCTTATCAAACACAAGTAACAATTTTTGTAAAATAAAAATAACATTAACTAACTTTTGTTTGGTGTAATTTTTACAACAGAATTTTTTATATAGATGTTCACTTCCTAGATATGGGAGCGTGTTTTTCCAATATGGCTAAAGGAGATTAAAGAACGAATACCTCAATCAGATATTTGCAAGTTTAAAAAAATACTTGGGTAAGAACTTAAAATTATGAAATAATATTAGTTTTTAAAATATTAATGATTAAACTGCATTGAAAATATTTTTAAAATCATTTGAGGCTATTTAATTCACCTTCCCAAGGCCATAAAACCACTACAGTTGCCTACATTTAGTTGTGGTTACAACCCTCTCTCAACTCTATAATGCCAAATCACCAACCTTGATGAACAAGGCTTCTGTGCGGAGAAACAAGTTGATATATATATATATATATATATATATATATATATATATATATATATATATATATATATATATTTGTTTTGTTTATGACATGCTGTTTTAATTTGCTTTGTTGACGAATATATGATGTAAAGTATATCTTTTTTTTTTTTTTACTTTTGCTTCACTTATCAAATTACTTTCGTTTAAAAAACCTCTATTTCATAAATGATTTAAGTTCTTATTTTATTATTGTTTTAATAAAAATATTTGAAATATTATTTTTATAATAGTATAAAAATATGTACTAATTGCTGTATTTTTATATTATTAAAAAAATTATGTATCAAATATTTTTATTAAAGCAATAACTGTATTTTAACTGAGAACGTTTTTTCCTTTTAACTGCACTTTGTCAATTTTTTTTTTCTTTAAGTATTTTTATTTATTTTCTTGTAAGTTTATGCTGCAAATAAAATAGTGTGAATGGTTTTTAGACAAATTTAAAATTTTCTATAATAGAGTTCTTAAATATATATAATTTTAGTATAATCTTGTTTTAAGTAAATTATAGCAATTTTTGTAGTAAATAAAAAAAAAAACGATTATAAAACGATTATAAAACAATTGTCTTCTTAGCATTTGTTTAAATAGTTTCTGCACACAATTGTTATTAACCTTATTAATAACTCATTTAACCAGTTTTTAAACTGATTAAAATCAGTTATTAATAAGCTCATTAAAATCAGCTCATTAAATTTTTTGTATGTAACTACTTTATTTTTTTATCATTTAAACTTTTCATTTTCTATTTTTATAGCATTTTCTTGCCAATGAGAAGTCATTGCAATAAATGAATTTTTTTTTAAATGAATTCAAAAGTATCAATTATGTGTTGGCACTTTTTTTTTCTTTCTTTTATTGAGTTGTAAGGTAAATCAAGCGTCAACCCGTCTAAGTAGAGGCAATTAAAAAGAGATAAATGACACTTTCATTCTTCAATATCATTTCATAAAATGATTTCTTTTAGTATTAACAATTCAATTTATATTTTAAAAATATTTTCTATAATTTGTTTTGATATCAAAAAAAAAAAAAAAAATCAACACTAAATTACTTGGATATTATCAAACTTCTTTTTTGTAATTTAATGAAAATCTGTGCACGCAAGCGTTATTTTAAGCAAATTAACAATAGCAGGTATTTTGAACATTTGTTATTGCGAGTTTAAATTTAAAAAGTGCATTGATTTTATTTAAAATTATTATTTTCAAAGGAATAGGAGTTCGTTTATTTTCAAGCATTAAGTTATTTTTGTGTGTTTCGTGTGTTTTTTATGTGTTTAGCGTGTTTTTTGTGTGTTTAGTTTCAGTCATGAAGAACTATTATTACTCTAATAAAAATTTAAACAATTAAAAAAATAGAAATTCTGACTGCCCAAAAAAAAAATTGACCGTTGATTTGATGTGTTAGCCGATCAAATTGACTGCTCGCCTTTAATTTCTTATTTTCCAAGCTGCAATAGCCAGTGCACATATAAAATCGACTTTAAGACGGGCTATTCATAGCTTGTGCAGAATACATAAAAAATGGTATTCTGCAGACTTTTTTAAGAAATTAAATTTATTATTTTCTGATGATAATTTTTAATTGTTCCACTGAATTTTTATTTTTCTTCCTTTGTCATTCCAGGAATAATAATAATATTTGTTTGTTTTTTTTACCAATAAAAAAGCAGGAAAAAAAGCAGAGACTTGCATTTAAAAAAAAATTATTTTCATTTCATTTTAATGTTTTTATTCAAATTAATTTGTATATTTATTTAATAACTTAGTTATTAGTTAAATAATATAAAAGGTTATAATCAAATCGTTAATCAAAGGTTAATCAAAAACGATTAATTATACTTCTATTTCTCTTCCTTCTTGTGAGTAAAAATGTGATTAAATATGAAAATCTTAACAAGTGGGAAGTGACAAATCATTCAAAAAGACTTTTTAAATTAAGCCTTGAAAGACTGTATGTTTAGATAAGCAGTCTGATGTCATACTGAAATAACCTCCTGTCAGAGGCTTCAGTACATACATCGACTAAATAGGTAGAACATGCATGGAGCACTGCCTAAATAGGTAGAACATGCATGGAGTGTTGCTACATTAAATAAGACTTTAAATTGAGACTGTATTCTTCTTTTTCATTAAAGTTTGTTTTTTTTCTTCTTTTTCTGAAATAGCTCTATGGATTAAAGTAACTAAAAAAGTTGACAAAACTTTATATGCTATAGTAGATCTATCTAATATTCAGCAATAGTAGACAAATGTATATCTATATATGCTATTGCAGATATATCTATATTTTTTATACTAATTCACCCTCAACAAGGCAGCAAGCAACCACTATTAGGTTTGAAATTACTAAAAAACAAAGAATAGAATTAAATAGTAAGGAAATAGTTAACAGAAAACTTGAATGGTTAAAGGTTGTATGAATCAGGAAAACATGAAGATGGGTAGAGAGTTCCAAAGCATTGATTTGAAAGGTAAAAAACTAGGTGGATAAATTTTTCTAGAGCATACAGGAACAGATACAGTAAAAGAATGTGTCTTTGTTGAATGACAAGTCAAGAAAGAATGAGTTTTGGTTGATTCAACTAACAATAACTTTCCTTTGAGCCCTGACAATGATAATATTTGTAGGCTCAAACTTAGCAGATAAAGCAGGTCTATCTACGTTTAGAATGTGTTTTTAGACCTTGTATAGAAGAGAAGGCTCATCATTAAAAGAGATTTTTAGAAGAGAACAAAATCAAGAGTAAGATAATGGCAAGCAGGATAAAGAGAAGCAACCTTAACAGACATTAGCCCAAAGAACATCACAAAGATAATCAAAAAAAGATTCTTAGTCAGTTTTAGGGTAGTATGATAGTGCAATGATAGGAAGAATTTAAGTAGAAGATAAAAGATTTAAAAGATCAATGCATGGTTGGAACCAACTAAAGGAGAACAAGGAGAAATTAATAATCCAATATTACAATTTTTTTACATATTTAATATAAACAAATTTCTTTCTTTTCTCAAAATTTTTATAAACGATTTAAAATATGTAACATTTTTGCTTATTTTGTATTATTTTTCAAATTTGTTTGCGGTTTTGCAACTAATGATTTTTTTATTTTAAAAAGTTAATGCATAAAATTTCCAAAAATAAAACATGTGTGTAATCATTTTATCAACAATTTTTTTGTGAAAACAAAAATTGTTTTATCTTTGCAAGTACTATTTTCAATATATATATATATATATATATATATATATATATATATATATATATATATATATATATATATATATATATATATATATATATATATATATATATATATATATATCGTTGAGCACATACTTGCCTTAGGAAAAAAAGTTTGAGGCATTTTGAGCAAATTTTTAATGCAGTCTTGGAACACGTTTACTAGGAAATTACTTTTTTGTCAAAAATATGAAAAGTAGAAAAATAAATAAATTAAGAATTACCATAAAAGTAAGCTAATTTTTTTCTTAAGAAAACATTTTATTTTTGAACAGTATTTTGTAACATTTAAAAGTTAAAATTGAAGTAGAAATTAATTTTTTTATGTTTTTTTTATTTTATCAATATTTATTTTGTTTGTAAATACCGCTTATATCAAAAATAATAGTCATATCATTTTTTAAGTGGTTTTACTTCTTTTATCTTACCTCTTAAACAAAAACGAACAAATTTGAGCTCTTGCAATAGTAAATCTGAATTTAAACTGATATGCAGGGAAATCTGTTAAAACTCTGAACTTAATAAATCCTTTTGGTAGATTTTGAATCGATTTATCAAAATTTACTAATGATGTTTATTTATCACAAGTAGTGCAATCGCTAGCCTTTGCTCAACCAAGAGCCGCAAGGCAGGAGTATTTTATGTCAGTGTTTACTTCTCCTAGCCTTTGCATAGAAAATTAAATTCTAAAAGGCAGCAGGACATGGGGCAGGTTCTACGAGATAACTTGTTATCTGTAGCAGGGTGATCATGTTGATCTTGAACCTGACATGAACTGACGTTTAAGGAAGTTACTTCTGTGAGTATTACTCTAACTCATCAGATTTTGAATATACATCAAGAAAAACATTTTATCTAAAAATTAGCTTAAATTAAGGTGAATAGTATGATATATGTTAGTAGTCACTAGCTAGTCAGTGAGCTCACATCATGCCAGAGGTGTGGTGTTAGCTTAGTGACTAGCTATACACTACAAAAAATTTTAAATTTTTTTGTGCATTCGTTTATTTAACATCTTGTGTGCATTTGTTAGTTTAAAATCTTTTGTGGATTTTTTTTTTCAAAATCTCGTGCTTTTTTTCATTTAACGCCTTGTACGCATTTGTTTATTTAACATGTTGTGTGCATTTGTTTAACATCTTTTGTGCATTTGTTTATTTAAAAACATATTTGCATATTTTAAAAAGTTTATTTGTATTATTTTAGTAATTATAATTTTATTATAATGTTAATAGTTAAATTTTTTCTATTTACTTATTAACTATTAATTTAGACAAATATTTGGTGTAAACTCTAATACACATTCATCCTATGCTTTATCATTCCTTTATAAGAGATTACAGTCAACAGAAATGCAAGAATATTTGGAAGCTTTGGTTTGGGTTCAAGTATGTTTTTCTTTTTAATTTTAGTTCTATGGTTGCTATGGTTGCTGACTTGAATTAGTTGAATACTCTATTTTAAAATTTAATTAATTATCAGAGTACTAATACATTTCGCTCCTTTTATTAAATTTTTTTTTTAAATTAAAACAGTTCCTAAAAAAAAAAAAAATGTAATTGAAAGAATTGTATTTTGTTGTTGTTGTTGTTGTTGTTGTTGTTGTTGTTGTTGTTGTTGTTGTTGTTGTTGTTGTTGTTGTTGTTGTTGTTGTTGTTGTTGTTGTTATTGCTGTTGTTGTAAATAAATAAATATCTTTCTTACATTTCTTTCTTATATTTCTTATAATAGTGCCTGCCTAAACTAAAAAACTTAGTTGATGCACAGATAGCTATAGGAGCAATCTTTATTACAATTTTTATAAAATATTGAAATAAATAACCATTTGACTCGATATCAAAAGCTTTTAAACAGAAATGTTTTTTATAATTGTCTTATCCATTATTTTTTTAATTGTCATCAACATATTTTAATAAGATGCACATATTCCTTAGTTGAAATCTATTTAACATAGATTTTCCTAAATTTGTGTGCACCAGGTTTTCTAAAATAGTAAAACTTTTATTTCCAAAAGTTCATTCACTAAATCATCTCAAAATAACTTAAGTTCATTTACTGGATCATCTCAAAATAATTAAAATGTTATGATATAGTTTAGAAACGTTATGATATAATTTCACTGAAATGTTATGATAAAATTTAGAACATTATTTTATATTTCTTTTTATATTTATATATTTATATTATATTTTTATATTATTAAAATTTTATATTTCTTTTTTATATTACACTTTATATATCTGTTAATAGTTTGCCAATTTATTATGCCATGTGATTCTTATTTACTTTACTATATTATATGGTTTTTGTTTACTTTATTATATCAACACCTGTTAAAGCTACCTTGATAACTACTACACCTCATGTGAACTAACTTCTTACCAAGATTTATTGATTGTTTACAAAGACGTGTTTTACAATCACGCTTCTACAAGAGTGAAAACTTTTGTTTTTAATCCTTTCCAACAAATTCTTTGTTGTTAATAAAGTTTTAAAATTATTTTACATTTTTTAACAGTCAAAATTATTTTAAACTATTTAAAATTATTTTACAGTTTTTTTTTTTGTTATTCAGATTTTTCATGTTCTTAAAAAAACGCATGTTTTTTTGTTTTGTTTGATAATTTTTATGGTATTTTACTTATGTTATGGTGTATGACTTATATTTATGATTATTATGATGTATGTTAATGTCAAAAAAGAAAAATTAATCCTGCTTATATTAAGAGTGTTAAAGTTTACAATGATCTTCATATTGCTGTTAAAATAGAAGAGCAGAAAACTTTTCTTCACAAACAGAAACACCTGATGTTTGGCTTTATTAAGTGGTTTATTTGCATTCAAATTTATTTTGTTAAAAATTTATTAAGTAGTTATTAAATTTAATCAAAATTCTACATAACAAAAAAAGGTGTTTACATATTTACAGATGAAGCTCCTCATTTTTTTTGAACACTTAATGTTTTTTCAACCTCTCAACACTTTAACTACCAAACACAACCCTCAAAAACCCTTTAAAAACCAAACACAATCGAACAATCCTTCAACTTTAAACCCAACTCTCTAACTACCAAATAAGCGCCTTGATAACTTATTTATTATTACAGAAAACAGTTGAATGGTACAACAAATCGATGAATGTGCAAATTTTTTTTAAAAAAAAAAGCACAAAAACAAATGTCATGTTTCTATACTTTTGCTTATGAAAACAATGGCGATCATCTAAAATTTTTCAAAACGAACACATTACTTCAGCAACTTTTTTTCCAAATAAATATGCGATTGATAGATTTTTATTTATTATAAAAAACACATCTTTATAATAAAAAAGCAATTACTTACTAAATTTAAAACACATTTTCAAAGACTTTAAAAAAAACCATGCTAAAACTTTCTTCAATAATGTTACTTTTAAGTAAAATAACTAAGTTGATTATTAAAGAATTTATTAAATTAAAAAAAAAGAATTGAAAAATGAAGTAATTATGTTTTATCATGATTTTTGCATGCATTTACAAAAGCATGCAAAATTTTACATATTAGACATTTAATAAGTTAATAAAAACATTGCAAATGCTTTTATTTTAAAATAAAAGCATTTGCAATGTTTTTATTAACTTATTATTAAATGCTTAATATGATATTATTTTTAAAGGTTTTAATAAAAGTTGCCAAAACAACTTTTATTTAATCTTGAGTTTCTTTTATTTTAATTTCTTCAAGTTTATACATTTTTATATTCGTAAATAAACTTAATTGAGAAAAATTCGTTATTTTGTATCAATGGATTTACAATCATTTCATATTAACTGTCATTACTCTGTGCGCACTTTGCAAATGCGCAAAAAATTGTTTTAAAAAAATAAAAGTTGATTAAATTCAATAAACATTTTTGATATATCGAACAATTTGTTAACTAGAATGAATTTTTTATTTTTTTTCAAATTTGAAACTAAAACTCCCTTATTTGACATATATTTCTTAAATTAAACATTCGTCTATAAACAAAGATACGAACGTCAACGTCAATTAAAGAAAAAAACAATTTGACATGCTCTGCATTGTAAAAAAATTTCAAAAGAAAATTACTGTAAACTTTTTTTGAAGAAAATTACCAATTAACTTTAAACATTTAAACCTATAGAAAGATTTTATATCTCATTAATTGTTTTAACTACTTTAATATTATAATTGGTGTTTAGGTTTTTAAAGTGGCAAAATTTAGAATGGGAAAAAAAAATTAAGTTTATTATTATAAATAAAAGTATACAAGGGTTTAAATTCAAATATAGATTAAAATTTGATTATTTTATATTATTATTTTTTTCATACTTTTATCTTGTCATTTTTTTATTATTAATAGAAAATTATTTTGTAGATTTTATCCTATTTGGATGTTCATATTGATATGTTGCCATTGTTTGATATCTTCATAAAAATGATAATTGGTGTAGAAAAAAATATCTCATCTACAGTAACAGCATTTCCATTTCCAGACAAGGTTGTTTTAGAGCGTATGAACAGCAATAAACTAGTAAGAAGTAATTCACTAACACCAGGATCACCACCACAATCTGCAACCCCAGTTACATCTGGAATGCCTATGTTACTCAATGTAAAAGATCACTTGACTTTCGCTGTGCTTATGCTGGATGTCTTAATTAAACAGGTTTCTTTGTTTATACAACAAAAAATTATTTTTATATAGTTATTAAAATAAAATAAAAAATAATAGTTTTATTTAATAGTAAATTCATTTTTTTATTTTAATAGTAAAATTAACAATAATTTTATTAAGTGAATAATGCATTCAAAAATATGTATACATAATACAAGTATTAAATATGTTGAAAGTCAGATAAACCTTGTAGAGTACTTTTGCAATTGACATACTTTAAATATACTTGTTTGCTAGGTGCTTAGTATCAAGTGGAAATGATTCTAACAATTAAATTCCAAACAATAAATTCATTATCTTCACTTACATTCTGAGTTTTCATAAATTTCAACATTTGTTTATGTGTATGTGTAGAAGATTTTCGGCAGCAATTACCTGCTTTCCACACAACTACCCACTTATCACACAACTACCCACTTATATTTATAGTGGTGTGAGAACTATTACAATCACTATGCATAAAAATTACAATTCATGAGTTTTGATTGTTACAATTTTTTGGGTTTTAGATATTCAAGATTGTTCTAAATATTTAAACATTTTTAAATCACAAAGTATTTTTTTGTTGTTCTTGTTGTTGTAAAGTTAAATAAAAGTTGTAAGTATTTATGTTTTTTTCTTTTGTTTCTTCAATTTCTTCATTTTTACACCACTGCACAGCAATAACATAAATAGTTCATGTACAAATGAAAATATAATTACATGGCTATTTGCATAAACTGATTTTTTAAAGTTTAAAGTAGTTTCAAATTTTTATGATTTTGAGGAGTTTCTATTGTGTTGTTTTCTTATTTAATTGTGAAAGTTTGGAAAAGTTTAAGATTTTTAACAACCAGGCAAACCTTCTTAGTGTTAGTTTGTTCTGCAAATCAGGCATTACCTGACGTTAACCTGCAGATCAGGATTGAGTAGTTTTTATTATGGTACTACCACTAGAAATATTAACATCCACTACTACCACTAGAAATATTAACATCCACTACTACCACTAGAAATATTAACATCCACTACTACCACTAGAAATATTAACATCCACTACTACCACTAGAAATATTAACATCCACTACTACCACTAGAAATATTAACATCCACTACTACCACTAGAAATATTAACATCCACTACTACCACTAGAAATATTAACATCCACTACTACCACTAGAAATATTAACATCCACTACTACCACTAGAAATATTAACATCCACTACTACCACTAGAAATATTAACATCCAAGGCTTATAGGCTCCTCCTATCTTTACCCACAATTAAATTGGTTTATGTTATATATTATAGTTTTTACTGCACATTGGGGAGTTTAAATTATAAAAAAAGATTTTTTTCTAGTTGTATATATAATAAATAGTAGCTGCATTAATAAATTTTAAAATAAATTTTATTGCAATTATTTTTTTTACTATATAATTTGTTTTACATATTTATGTTGCATATGGTAAAATTATAAATACGTCTTACATATTTATAATTTTACCATTTTGAATTTATTTAAATATGCTTAAACTCAAATCATTGAATAATACTTTTTTTGTTGAGTTTATCATGCTAATTAATTTATTTTAGTAAGTATGATTTTTATTCATCATGTTAATTAAATTATTTTAGTAATTATAGTTTTTATTTAATTTTTTCAACTCATATTATTTGCAATTTTAATTTTGTTTTAGCTTACTATACAAAAGAGTGATTCCGACATTCAAATTTCTAAGGAAGAATGTAACTCAATTGTGATTTTGTTAGTATGTATTTTGGACCAATTGTTTAATGTTGACCATTCTGAACATATAAATGGTGACTGCATGCAGTGTCAGGTTATGACAATTATTTTATACCAAACCGCTCTTCTTCTTGATTTGGTTATAGTTGATCAAATCAAGTGTCAGGTTTTATCTCACGAATATAGCAGGTCAATGAAAAAGTGTAAGTTATTATTTTTAATAGAACTTAATTTTCGAAGACTTTACTTGTTATCAAGATAATACTTGTAATATAATAATAATGTTAATAATAACAATCAAAATAATAGTAATAAAAATTATAATAATAACAATAATAATAAGAAATATAAAATTTATATAATAATGTTAGTTCTATAAATACTATCAAAAATTTACCAACATTGTTATACATATAATATACATTATAATAATATACATATAATATACATCATACATAGGACTGAGAATTTGTTAAATAATTTTTATGTAAAAGTTTTATCGATGGAATAATTTATTATTGGAAAACTCTTATTAATTATGCAGGGTTATCTTATGTAAGGTTGTCTTATGTAAGGTTGTCTTATGTAAGGTTGTCTTATGTAAGGTTGTCTTATGTAAGGTTGTCTTATGTAAGGTTGTCTTATGTAAGGTTGTCCTAGTAACGTGATACAATAACAAGTCTGAAAAAAGAATACTAAAGACAAAAATTGGATGAAAGGAGTGTTCCCAGAGAGCATTTGCTGAGTTATATTGCTTATGTTGCTTAAATATAATAGTTGAGCCTCATACCCTTAAATTGTGGTGGTGATGAGGGGGAGGGGGGATATATTCATTTTTTCTTGCATTTGGAATCAACTTAGTTGATTAGTTAGTATTATTAGTTAATTAGTTAGTATTATTATCATTTTCATACCTGGGTATGAAGTTCATCAAAACATCTATGGAAAGTTCTTTAAACAGCATAAAACTGCTTGAAATGTTTTTTTATTTTTTTATTTATAATAAAATTACCCTAACAAGGCTGCAAGCAATCACTAATTAAGTTGGAAGTTAGAAAATAAATAGCAAGAAAGCACTTAAAAAACTTATTGGTTTGTGGAATGACTGATGATAGCTAACTTCAACAGCAACCAATGTAGTATTTCTAGAAAAGCATTTTATCTATTAACGCTAGTATTTTATATATTAATGCAAGCATATTATGTTTTAATGCAAGTACAGAGTGTCCCAAAATAAATGAAACCAATTAATTTAATTATGATTTATTATTAAAACTAAATACGTTAAAAATTTTAACATTTTCTGAAAGCTCATATAATAACAAATAAGTATTAAAAGTTTTTAGCTTTTAGCTTAATTTTTAAGTTTTTTTGAACATGCTCTAAATGACCACTATTCTGTAACAGACTTTCTTGAAGTCGCCGAGCAAAGTTACTAATCACTTTGTCTTCTCTTTTTATCACACAAATGTTCTGCATTATAGCCAATTTTAATTCAGCAGAAGCCTGAGGATTATTTTTAGTTTTGTTATCAATTTTGACTAAATCAACTAAATATTGACTAGTCGAAAGTTGAAATTAGTTGACTAAGAAAAAACAAATAGTCGATTTAATCGACTCGAGACTTCCAACTAATCGAGTGAATATCTTGAAATCTATTTATCTTTTTATTCGATTTAACTTTCTAATCTTTTATTTTTGTTTGTTCGTTTAAAAACAAAAGCATGTATTATTATAACTAGAGATGTCACATAAATAGTGGTTTTGCTGAATAGCAAATATTCAGCTAGACACTCAGCCAAAGCACCAAATAATTGGCAACTGAATATTTGGTGACACTTTTTTATTTTGAGGGTTCATTGAAGTGCATATTGTGGGTATACTGGCAAAAGACATTAAATTGAAAATTGGCAGTTTTGACTCAAAGATGCAGTATTACAACACTCTACAAATACACTCATACATACACCACATAACTTCAAATAAAATATCTTTTTTCTAGTTATAAAAATACATTTAACTCATAAAACAGGTGTTTTATTTAGGCTAAAAGCTTTTAAATGAAAAAAAATAAAAGCTATAAATATCTTTTTACATTTTTTTTTTTTTTTTTTTTTTTTTTGCATTCACTCCCAACAAGGCTGCAAGCAACCACTATTAAGTTGGGAGTTACTAGGAAAAAAAAGAACAGAGTTATAGAGCAAGGAAACGGTTGACAGAAGACTTGAAAAGTTGAAGGTTGTATGAGTCAGGAAAACATGAAGATGGTAGGCAGTTGAAGTGTGGGGAAAAAAACTAGATGAATAAAAGTTTTTAGAGCATGCAGGGACAGATACAGTAAATGAATGAGACTTAGCTGAATGACGAGTAAAACAAGAATGAATTTTAGTTGATGGAACTAGACTAACTAACTGTTAACACTTAACATTATGGTTTATTTTAATGTCAACACTAAATGCATTTTAATAAGATTATAAAAGTTTCAAATCGGAAGAAAACTAAAATGATTAGTTTCTCATAACAGGGATTTTTGAGTTTACGTTTTTTGCCAAAGTACCCATAATATACTAGCTACTCTGTGGGTATTTTTGTTTAATTTAAGGCTTGACTATGTAACAGCACACATTTGTTGACTGTTTCATCAATTCGATTTAACTAAGTATGCAAGTCATATTCTTCAAATCACTCAGAAAGAATAATCAGGTATTTGCATTTCAGAATTATTTTCAGAATTTGATATAGACCTTACCTACAACCTGAACTTAAAACATGGTTTAACTTTAATGGGAATCTGAATTATACAGTTGCGATAAAACAACTCGATAAATATTTTTCAGTGAAGGCTGCTTAACAACAATGAACCATGACTGGTGACTAGTAGCACCGGTGATGATTCAGCTTTACTTCCTAAGAAAAAATTTATTAATGAAAATGATCAAACTAATCTCTACGAAAATATGCCTACATGAAGATCTGAGAAAGATTTCCAATTGCAATTGATATTAGTTTTTACATAAAACCGTTTGCTTAAATTGGACAGCAAACCCTTACAAGTGTTAGTCAGTAAATGCAAAACATTATCATAACAGAACTTGCTAAAATTTTCTTATTATTTGCCGGTGGCAGTGTACATAGTGAATGGCTGTTTAGGAAGTATAACATCTCTAATTATAACTATTACCTATTTTTTGTTTATTCTCTTTTCATCTAATTCATAACATGTTAACATAACATGTTATGAATTACTTGACATGTTAACATAACATGTCAAGTTTCATCTAATTCATAACATTGTAAAGAGATTCATAATAATTATTTAAGTCAGTCCCTAAATTATTGGGGTCTGGAAATAAATTGTCCAGTTGTCAGAGTGGTCGTTTTCTCATATTGTTTTGCTCCATTAACATTTAAATGATATGATGTTAAAAAATAGGAAGCAAAAATAAATTACTTTATTATTTTCTATTTCAATATTCAAATATAGGATTAAATAAATTAATCCCATATTTGAATATTTAAATAGAAAATAGATTTTGACTAAATCAACTTTTAGGTGACTTAGTTGATTTTTATTATTTTATTTTATTTATTAGTCGATTTTAGTCGACTATAGAAAATATATTAGTTGATTTAGTCGACAGTCAAACTATTCAATAGTCATAACAACACTAAATATCTTGATTCTGATGATTAAAAAAAATTATCAAAAATGTAAATAGTAAGACTTGGTTTTGAAATTTCAATAAAAAATAAATTTACTAATTACCTCTTAACCTAATATGTCAGTAATATTGTTGGTCGTTATGTAAAACTTAACAAAATATGACAATAATAGTGTTGGTCATAGTGATGATAGTAGTGTAGGTCTTAACTAAAAGTTTCTTGAAACAGACCACACTAAATAATTTTATTTTTATTGTATTTGCTTCATGTAATAATTTTTTTTTCTTCATAAAATGTAATATTTAAAAAAAAAAAATATTATAATAAATTTTATTGCAATAATTACTATTTTTACTAAATTATACAATTTGATGTACATATTTGTGTAGTTATATTTATATATAAATTCGTTTATGTAATATAATTACTTGTTACATAAAACAAAAAATTTTGTAAATTTAGCATTTTCAAAGAAAGAAAAATTGTCCAAAGACTTTCGAAGTAAGGTTATTTTTAGTTTCTCAAAATTTTAATTTTTTAATTTTCATTAGTGTTAGTTTTATATTTGTGATACAGACTCAGAGGACATCCTTTCACAACCAATTCCTGAAGAAGATAGTAATGAGGAACATTTAATTAATGATGATGCTGACAAAGATATATTGAAAGTTTACAAAGGAAATAATCTTGACAAGTTAATGTTTAGTTTTCCTGAACTGAGAATAATGGAAAGTCTTTTGCAGGTTGTTAATATTTAAATCATTATTATATGCAGTTTTTCTAGGTTTTTCAAGTAATTTTACAGGTGAATAATCTAAATTCTTCCAGTGCATCTTCTACATAATTGATGATAGCTTGGTAACTATGTTGACTAAGTATAAGTATTTTATATTTAAAATTGTGTAATAATATTTGAAAAAAAAATCATTAGTGATTAATTTTTTAAAGATTAATATTAACTAGCAAAAAGTAACCCGTAATACAGGTTATGGTCAGTCTGTTACATAATTTATTTATAGTGGCTGTTTTCCAAAATTTAAAGTTGCAAATTCTTAACTAATACCCTTTTAGAAAAACGGCTTTAAATTAAAAAAATTAATCTATCTGTAAAATTAACATAAAAAGTATGAGGAGGTAAAATAATTTATCAATTATTATTTAACACATTATTGGAGTAATTTACAACTGACATAACAAAACCACGCATGTAAAGCAGTTAACTATTTAAAGAGATTAGAAAACACTTCCCCTGTAATGAAATACGTGAATGTTTTAAATATATCAAAACTTAATTCGTTTTAAATATTATTATTTATGTATAAATATAAAAATAACTTGCTGCCAAAAGTGTTTTCTGATATTTTTACATCAGCATTTTCACAAAAATTCAATCTTCGGTCAAATAACAACCATAACTATCGCTTGAGCATAGTAAAATCGCAAGTGTCAAAATTCTCAATTATTAGCCAATGCATTATGGAATCAATTAAAAAATAACAATATAAAAAATAACAATATAAAAAATTTGAAAAGCACTTTCTCTTTTAAACGACAAATGAAACTGCATCTCCTTAGTTTCTGACATATATTTAAGTATGTTTGTATATGTGTGTGTTTTTATGGGTATATGTATATATGAGTATATATGTATATATGAGTTTTTCTTTATTCTTCATGTAGTATTTAACAGATAAAATATTTGTTGTAAATTTTTTAATGCCATGTGGGCTTTAAATGATATTGTAAAGGGGCTCTATGAAAAGATTGTGGTGACACCAGTCATCCTTATCTTCTTTGAGCCCCTGTCTGTTTTATATATATTCTTTGTGTAATGTAAAAGTTTCATTGTAATTTTATTTTTATATAAACAGTGAAATATATATAAAATCTACATTCCTAAGTTCAACACAAAATAATAACACTTCACCATTCTTTAAATTGACAAAAATATCAACAAAATTCTTGTAATAATTTTTATAACATGAACTTTAATTATTAAGACTAATATGAAGTTAACTTATATTATACAGGAGTTATTAACATTTGGTATCCCCTCGATAAATTTTTCTTTAGAAAAGAAAATTTGTCATCTTAAAAACTTTTTTATGCCTACTTGCCTAAGTAGGCATAAAAAAGGCATAAAAAAAAAAGTAGACATAAAAAAGAAAAAAAAATGACTGGAAAACAATTTACTTGCTTTTGGTAACTTGTTATCATACTTCAGTTGCTGTCATGATGCAGCAGTTCTTGTCGGTGTTATTTAATGACGTTGTTTAATGTTGGCTTTTAGTAAATTTTAGTTTAATTTAGAAGACATCACAATAGATTTAAAATATTTAAATTAAAAGGCAAAATATAAAATGCTTAAACGAGCCAAACTATAAACATTAAAGATGAAAAATCAAATTGAGATATAAATTAATTGCATTTATATAGCTAAATATATTGTCTTGGCTTATAGAAAATTGAGGTTGATATGAAATGCAGTTAACTTATACAGGAACTACTAAACAGCTGAGTACAAATACGTTTCAAACAAACAAACAAAAAAATTCATAATCAAACAATCGTATAACAAATTTAAAAAAAATATGAAAACTTTGATCTTTTATATTGCATTAATGCGTCATATGGCGAACCTAAAATACAAACAAAACAAAAGTTTGTAAAACCAAGCTGACCAGACCCGGGTCTTGTTAAGTCTGCTCAACACAGACCATTTTTATAATATTTATTTAGCCTCTTTATTTCATTAATTTTTAGTCAACGGTATTTTGCTACCCTTTACTAAAAATTTCTTGTGTTAATCGAAATTTAATTTTACTAAATATTTTGACACTAATAAAGAGTTTCTCCCCTCTTCTTGCTTTAATGGTGGCCTGGTGAGTAGAGTTTTTTTATTAAGAGTTTTTGATGAAGACCTTTAACCAAAATAATAAAATGTAAAACAATGATTTACATATGAATCAATGTATACAAAAACGTTTTAAGTCATTTTTTTTTTAATGTTTGACTTTTTGATGTCAATTTGTTCTTTGAAGACAGTTCTACCATTGTGTAGTGAAATATTCCAAGTCAGACCTTTCCATACACGTTGAATAGAGAGCTGAAAGATTTTTTTGAATTTATTAAAGTAATAATTTTGGATTTAATACGTTTTTTCTTGTTTACTAAAAAAATAGTTTTTGTGACTTGAAGCGTTTTTGTATACATCGATTCATATATAAGAATGTTTTCTATCTTTCCTCAAAAGTGTTGCAAATGCAGACCAAGCTAACTAATTAGTTAAATATGTAAATAAAGCATAAGTAAATCGATATTTGACAAATGCCAAAAACTACAGTATTCTCCATGTTTTTAAAGGTTTTTAGTTATGACCCCCCCCTACCCCCCGTTTACAAAGATCCCCTAATATATGTACAACAAATTATTAGGCATAAAATATAAAAAATATATAAAACTAATTGCATATATTTATATCTTTTTAACAAACAAAAATTTACAATAAAAAAAAATCAGTTTTTTTTTTTACTAAATCTTATAAATGTGTCATAACGTAAATCTAAAATAAAAAAGTAATGGAATTATGATATTATAATTACAAAAAAAAAACACCACATAAAAATTGAAAATCGATTTACCTATTTATAGTTACTTATTTTGAAATTGCAAATAATATAAACATTTATCGAAAATGTAACTATAAAATCTGTTTTTAAGTACAAAAGGTTTAACAATACTAAAAAAAAATCAAACTAAGATATAAATTGCACTTAAAGCTGCCAAGTCACACCTCTGCTATAAGTACACCGCTTGGCTGGCAAGGTTATCAAACTTGCTCAACATAATATCAAGTCACACCACTTTGAAAACATGGAAACAACATAACTTTAACATATTTACAACTATAAACAAGTATGACTTAATATGACACATATAAACACATTTTATAACAATACTAAATGACATATTTATCAAAAACTATGAAAAAAAAAATATTAGTAATAAATAAAGTTACACAAAGACAATGTGCTCACAACTTTTAACAGTAAATTTTTGAAATGAAAATCTAAAGACTATAAATTAAGAACATTAGAAAGTATAACACTATTTGTGTAACACTTTTTACCTACCATACCTTGAATATGATGTTTATCAATTTTGAAAAACAAACTATTAAATGCTTTAGTTCTTGAACGTGCAACATATAGTTGACTAAGAGAGAAACATGGTTTTAGAGATATGTCTTTTGTCTATAAGTTTAATTTCGCGTTATGTAATGTTTGGATGTTCCCTAAAGTAAAATACTTGAAACTAAAAAGGTTTTATTTATTACAATATTTGAACAACCAAGAGAAAATTATAGTTAAACAATTTAAATTATATCTTTAAATAGCAAGCAACTCGTAAAATATATCTTATAAATGGTCAATATCAATTGTAGTATTAAAAAATACGCAAGAGCTCAGTAATTACATTAGTTTAATCAATTCTCCATGTAATAACTCTCATTAAAGTCTCATCTAAGAGAGAGAGAGAGAGAGAGAGAGAGAGAGAGAGAGAGAGAGAGAGAGAGAGAGAGAGAGAGAGAGAGAAGTGTTTAAAAGCAGCATGTTAAAAAAAGTAAAAAAAACATGCAGTAAATAACAGTAACTGGTTTTATTATGCTACCAATAAACAGAATTTTTTATACCTTAAATAAAAGTTAATTTCCAGCATTGCTTAATTAAAATTCAGCTTCTCTCTACCTGTTGACTAATGCTCAATGTAGTAAATTTCACATCATATTAAATTTACAAAATTAAAACCATGTTTCAACAGTAAGCAAAATAATCAAGTGATGACAAAGGCAACTAAAAAAAAAAAGAACAAAATTATTTTTGAGATATCAAAGAAAAAAAATTAGAATCATTTAAATTTGAAACTGTTATTGTTACTATAAATAGTAAAATTCATACTTTGCTTTATTCTTAAGTGTATAATGTAAAATTAAATTAATAGACATCAAAAAGACACCAACACATAATTTTATCAGGCCTAGATCTATCTCTTTCATTTGGCAACAAATTTTTTCAAGTCACCCATTACCATTTACACTAAAAACCTCTTTGAGCCTCATATTTTAATGTATAATTATACATCTGTTATCATTAAACATATTACCAGTGATTATACTACTGTTAAATTTGAATAAATGAACGTAAAATAATTTTACTAATTGTGATCTTTTCTAATCAAAGACTATATTTTAAATTAAGATTTATTGATATTCATATATTTTTATAAGTTTATATAAAGAAGTCGTTCTTAAAAATATAAAATAAAATTTATTTACATTATTTTTAATTTAACTAAGAGTTTAGACTACAATGCACAAGGTTATTTTTACCCTCAGTCACTTTCTCGATTAATATATATATATATATATATATATATATATATATATATATATATATATATATATATATATATATATATATATATATATATATATATATATATAAATATATATATATATATATATATATATATATATATATATATATATATATATATATATATATATATATATATAATAATAGAGTTTGATTATTTGAAAAAATACAACTTTTTGATGGTATTTGATATATTTTTTCAAATAATCAAACTCTATTATTATTATTATTGATCTATTTTGTAAACACTTACATTATATTGATCACTCTCAAATGAACAAGAGACTTTTGTATCTTAATTTGGTACAATAAAACAACAGTATATATATATATATATATATATATATATATATATATTATATATATATATATATATATATATATATATATATATATATATATATATATATATATATATATATATATATATATATATATATATGTATATATATTTAAATTTTTTCTATTCCTTTTATTTTTTCGTTGAGATAATATTTATATAGATACAGAAAAATATAAAATATACTGAAATATAGGCACATTTATGTATATAAACTTACCTGTCCAGGACTCAATTTAATGGTCAGACATCGCTACAATTGGACTGTTTTTGAGATCTGATTTATGGGGGCAACCAACTATTGTTTATTTTTAATGAAAAAATCAAAAATGATTTGTTGCCCTCCTCTAGCAGGTCTCAAGAATGGTCCGGCAGTGGCGGCAATGTCCAGCCGTTAAATTGGGGGACGAGGGACGGCGATGTCCGACCGTTAAATTGAGCCAAGTGTGACAACAAATTACAGTCAGTTTTCCATGTTAAATACATAAAATATATATTTAATATAAATCCAATATAAAATAAAACAAAATATTAAACTTACTTAAATCAGTAACAGTCTAAAAAACTTTATTATTATTAATCCTTTTATTTAAAAAAAAACAACAAAAAAACAATTGATTTGAAGTGACTAATTAAACATATTACAGCTCAAATTTACTAAAAAGTACTTCAGCTTATTCTAACTGCACTAAAAAATAGAACAAATCTTGCTTCGCTAAGTTGCCTAGTTTTTAAGAATTCGAAAACAAATAAGTAAAAAACCAAGAACATTTAAACATTTTTTTATTAAAACTATTCTATTTAAAACAAATTAAATTAAAATATTTTTGGCTTGCAGATTCAGGAAATAACTTTCCATTCCATATGTATAAAGATAACTAAAAAAAATAATTTTTTAACTGTTAAAAATTATGGCAAAAAAACCCTTATAATATTTGGTAAAGTGATTTTTATTCATTAATTAAAGCAATTACACAGATAGTACAAAATAAAATAATAAAAAAACAATTGCTACTTTAAAATGTTGAAAATTAAAATTAAAAAAATAAGCTTTTTCATGTTTCCAATAGAAATAAATATAAATACTATTGTTTACAATAAAATTTTTGAAAAGCAATAATTTTTAAAAATACATGCACTATAATATTGAATCAAGTTGTGCTTAACTATGTCTTTAATCAGATTTTGCATATAGTTCATAAGGCCAACTTTGCATATTGTTTATAAAGCTAATTTTACATATAGTTTGAATTTATATGAGGCCACTGGAATCTTCATCTGTTTAAAATTACAACAAACAGCTTAAAATTATAATGGAAAGAATTAGTGGCAAAAAGGTTATTATAAATTATTAAATCTTTTTATTACTTTAGGAATTTAATATAATTAATAAAAATAAATACTTGTATGCTTTTTTAGGACTCTTTATATTTGTTATTTATAGCAAGTTCTGATAATTGTAATTAACTGAAAATTAACTATTAAATCAGTTAACAATCTAGACTAAAGGCGTACAACTTTTATCAATTTTAAATTGGTTTTAAAATTATAAGTCTGATATGTTTAAAACTATAAATTTGTTTAGTCTGTCTTTTTTTTTTCTGTTTTCAATGGTTTTAATTAATTTTCCAACATTTTTCAGCACTTTAGTATTGCTTGACTTTAAATTGACCACCACGCACCTACAATAATCACCATTCACCTTTTGCCTTTAAAATCTTAAATGTTAGTTTTACCAGTTTGCTTGTTACAAATATTTTTTCAACATTTTTTTAGATTATTTTATTTTTGACTATTTATATATTTAAACTGATGAATTTCTGGATTACACCTTTGATTATGATTAGTTTAATTAGTTTTTACTAATTAGTTTTTACTGTTTGTTTACGATTTTTTGTTTGTTGATACTGTGATTATTTATGTGTTTAATTAATATAATCATGTAATAGTGGATGATCTATCTGAATTTGATTATAGCAACTAAAGCATGTTTGTGACACATCTGGTATAGTTCATATAATTTCATGTCTGGAAGTACTTTGCTATCGTGGTAAATGTTTACAGGCATTTGCAAAGATGGAAGAAAAATTGATACAGAGTTTTCAGAAAAAATTGCTTATTCCCAGGTGATAAAAGCATCTTTATTTTTGATAAAACATAGATAATAATTAAGTTTACCTGTACTAAATATTTATATATGTATTATTTTTGTATTTTTATTGATATCTCATAAATATTTTTATGTGATTTGTATGTGTTATTTTTAATTTTGACAGTTTATATTGTAATACTTTGATATTTAATGTCATTATTTATAATACTTTTAAGTAATACTGTTGGCGATGTTTACTACAACTACTGATTTTAAATATTAATATTCATTTATATTATGCTTATTATAAATAAATAGAGTAATAGACTCTTTAAATGCAAGTACAGTAAAATATCTAATTATTTTTGTTCAGCTTGTGGAAGTTATTGGAGTCTTCTTCATCTAACATAGCTAAGTTAATTGCACCACTTCTATTGCATTGCTCTCTCTTGCCATATGGGACTGAGATAATATGTGAGCGTATAGAAATCGATATCAATGCTGAGAGTTGGAAGACAAGATTTGATGTTGGTGTGTTTATTTTGTTTACATATAATATTGTTTTCATTTGTTACACTGAAGCATGAAATAGTTTGAAATTAGAAATCGTTTCTTTTTAATCTGTTGCAGTCTTGTTGTAACAGGTTGTTATGACAACGTATATATGCAAATTAAATACGAAAAAACTTCTAAGATTTTGGAAGTTTGTCTAATGTAGACAGCTGCCATAAGCATATTTTATTTTATCTAAACAAGGTTCCCACCAGTCCTGGAAAGTCCTGGAGTTTGAATGAAATCCTGGAAAACCCTGGATTTTTGTAGTTATTTTGAAAACTCCTTTGATTTTGTATAGTATTTGTTAATTTATTATTGTTTGTTTCAAGCCTTCCATCTATTTCTTTATAATTTTTTTAAATTCATAACAAATAAAGAAGTAGTTGTTTATTGTTTTCAATAGAACTTTTATGTCTATACTTTTTATTATAGTGAAGTATTCTCAAAAAAACTTGCATAAACCTTTTATGGCATAATCAACTTTTATATTTAATCAACTTAATTTTAAAATGTTATTGGAAAATGCATTTCATGAAAACTTTGTTGAGGCTTTTATAAATAAATCACAATCATATATACAATTGATTTTTCATTTTTAAAATTGGTGATACTGTTTTTTAAAATGCTTTCATATTTATTTTTAAAATGTTGCTTGCATATTTTATTATTTTATGATGTGAAACATAAATGATTCTAAACATTTTTGGATTATATAAACATTTTTTAAACAGTTTACATTTTTTTAAATAGTTAGAATCATGCTGAAATTTTTATTTTTTAATGTATGGCTCGATGAAAAGCAATTTATACATTGTTTAATTTTTAAAAAATACATTTGTGATTTCCAGTTATTGTTCTATAGATTTTAATTTTGCTAATACGAGAGAAACTGCTTTAACAACACACATGTAAAGTAAAAAACACATAAAGAGGTCACCCTCATTTAATCTTGTTTTTGAGTATGTGTTGGAATGTTTAAATAAAGCAGGGAATCAAAAAACAGTAGGTAAAATGCTAGTAAACCCATCTATTCTTCAAGCTGAAATTTGTTGAGTGTGTTTTATGTTGTGTATTTATAATAATTAATAAATTCTTTAAGTGAATCTAAAAATAATTAAGTAAAATGTCACTATGTAGTTACCATAGTTACCTTGCTAAATTGTTTCAATGTGCATCCAGCACAATGAAATAAGTGGGTGCACATTGAAACAGCTTTTTTAGAAGACCACTACAGTCAAGGGGGCTACTTTATTGATCTAAAGTAATATGGCAATTTTAACAGTACTATCTTAGAAGACAAGCAACCTATGCAAACATCACTGAAACCCTTGATTATTCCATTTTTTATTGGCTTGATTATTTGATTGAGTTTTGTTGGCATAGGTAGTGTGAAAATAAAAATTTAGTTAAAAAGTCTTCTTGATAAACAAACAATTTGTGACCTATTTCAGTAGTCCTAGGACTATTGAAATAAAAAAATAAAAAAAATAAAAAAATAAAAGCACAAACTGAAAACCATTTCATGTTTTGATTATTGTTTTGTCAGTCAAGCTGAAATTTTTTGAAATGGTTCCTGTAAAGTTGAATGGTTGTCTGAGACAAATCAATGGTTCCAATATTGATTTTATATTTGGTGATATAGTCATTCTTTATACATGTTACAACAAAGAAATGCTGTAACATGTATTTAAAATGCTGTAATACATACACCATATTTGTCTTCTTTTGAAAAATTCTCTGATAGTATTAAAGGCAACAAAGAAATGCTGCAACATGTAAAAAGAACAAACAGTCTCTATAAAAAGTATTTGCAATCACAAAAAAATTAAAAATTAAAAAAAAAATTGGTTTCATAAAAGCAAAAAATTTGGAGCTACAAGAAAAAGGTTTTGTGTGTTAATGCTGATGAATTATCAGATGCATGTACTATAAAATGTTATCATTATCAGATGCATGTACTATAGAATGTTATCATTATCAGATGCATGTACTATAGAATGTTATCATTATCAGATGCATGTACTATTTGAATGTTTGTATCAAATTAAAAACAGGTATTATAGTAATTTTTTCTTCTTAAATAAATGTGTTCACCTTCCCAAGGAGATATTAATCTTGAGCACCCTATGATACATTAGTTTAAATTGCTGTTACAAGAACGTTGTAAAACTACTTCCAACCTTTTAATTTCAAAACATGAGCCTTGATGAACAAAACCACTGCGCAGAGAAACAATTTGGGTATGGTGTGACCAGGGACATAATGGGTATTGAACTTGAAACTTCTTGTTTACAAAGTGACATGCAAATTGAATGCTTTACCACTATACCCTTACTGCTTTGAAACAAAAAATATTCATGCTTGAAATTTATGTTCAGTATTTGACCTAGTTATTGAAAAACTACATGACTTGTCTTAAAAAGAGTGTAGAAGAGATACACTCATATCGAAGAGTCAAAGAGGATGTAAAAGAGATAAAAAAGGTGTAGAAGAGCCAAAGAGGATGTAAAAGAGATAAAGACGATATAGAAGAGATAAAGAGGGTGTGGAAAAGATACTTAAGATGTCATTGTTTTAATTAGTATGCAACTTTATAATAATTATTATCATGGCTAATTAAGCTAATATTTGATGGATTTTTTTATTTATAATAATCATATTTTTTTAGTTGATAAAATTGGATTAATATGCCAATTTTTCGGTGGTGATTTTTCCCACAATGAACATCCAGGAAAGTCTGTTGTTGTACATGGGATTACTTACTTAGCATATGCACTTCAAGATGTTAATGTGTCAGTTGCAATGAAAGCACGTAGTATGATGCAAGCAATCAAGTCTACCTCTTTAAAGGTAATTTATTTAAACAGAAAATATTTTTTTGATTTTTATATTTGTAACTACATTTAATATATAATAATACATTATCTGCAGTTAATAATAATACATTATCTGCAGTTAGTCAAAACTGTTCTAGTTCAATCCTAAAAAATATAGATATTTATTTGCTGTTATAAATGTAGTTAATGATTATCAATATTGATAATGTGGTTTACCATTATTGTTATCAAATGTGGTTCATCATTATTAATATGAAATGCGATTCACCAATAACAATACTGAATGTGATTTACTACTATATATATATATATATATATATATATATATATATATATATATATATATATATATATATATACATAATATATATATATATATATATATATATATATATATATATATATATATATATATATATATATATATATATATATATATATATATATATATATATATATATATATATATATATATAGATATATATATATATATATATATATATGTATATATATATATATAAGTACAATATACTTTGTGAAATAAAACACAAAATGTCCATGTCATGTCAGTATTTTATGGGCATTCCTTTAGCCGCTAGCACAGCAGTAATTCTCCTGGGCATAGAATTGATCAAATTTTCACAATAAGCAGGAGTGATTTCATTGGACCAAACCAACATTATCTTTTTTTTCAAATCATCATATGATGATGGCTTTAAAGCGGCTACCTTTTTCTTTAACAGATGCCAGCAATTCTCTATTGGATTTAAGTCAGGCGAGGATCCCGGCCAAGGAGAAAGTACCTAAATATTTTTCTCAGCAAGCCATTTAGTAATCACCTTTGCCCGGTGACATGGTGCACCATCATGCTGGAAGATTGTACAACCAGAAAGAGGCAGCCACTGAAGCAAATTGCTTTTCAAAATTTTCAGATATTCATTGGCATTAGTGGTTGTTTTAGAAGGCATGAACCAAATACCTGCTTGTCCTCTGGTTGAAATTGAAGCCCAGACCATGATTGATTGGCACTGTTTAACATTGCATTTGGTGTACTTGGGATTCTGTCGCTGATTAACAGGTCTATAAACAAAAGAATGAAGAGGAGCAAACTGCTTTATTTGACTTTCATCTGAAAACATTACTCGCGCCCAATCCAATGCTGTCCAGTCTTTGTGCTTTTGACAAAAGGCAATCCGATCCTTGATGTTCTTGGCAAAAAGCTTAGGTTTAATGGAAGGACGCAGGGCATGCAGGTTGAAATCAGAGGATAGTCTTCGTCTGATAGTTCTGGAGGAAACAGTAACAAAGGATGGCAAGTTATGTTGTATTACTGTGGATGATGACATTGGAGAATTAGTACAAGTGCGATGAATCAAGCGGTCAGTCTGCATAGAGGTACATTTTGGTCTACCAGATCTTTTTCGGGAAGTCAAGCTGCCAGTCTGCTGCAATCGAGTTATTGCGTTATGAACTGCAGTTTTAGAAACAGACAAACATTCAGCAATGCTTCTCTCGGTGTATCCCTCCTCTTTTATAATACTGATCTGTGCTCGAACTAATCTTTGTAACTCACACATTTCAGTGAAAGAAAATTAATGCTAAAATCAAAAATGAGAATTTGAAGCACAAACAGCAAATGCCAGATTCATTAAACAATAACTATATAAATATGCAATACAGTATGTATGTATGTAATGCATTTATATAACAACATAATACCACAACAGCGCTAATATGCGTCAATCCTAGGACACTTTCATGTTTATTATCTGCTATAAGCTATTACGTAATCTATAATTTGCCATTACGCAGTAATAAACTAACGCAAATATCAACGCAAAACCGAATAATATAGTGCATGGTTCATATAAAGTTCAAAGAAGTTTTAGGTGCAACATACTACATATATGACAATTGTATTACTCATCAGTTTTCCTCACATCATCAGTGATGCTGACAATAAATTGTTGTGTTCTGAATTATGTTGAATTACTAATATGAATTATATTGGAAAAAATTGATATGGTTGTTCATTGAATAAAATTTTATGGTTAAAATCAGTTTTTAGTCTTTTTCAACCCTTGGTCTCAGACTTTTGTCCAGTACTGTATATATATATATATATATATATATATATATATATATATATATATATATATATATATATATATATATATATATATATATATATATATATATATATATATATGTATATATATATACAGTACTGGACAAAAGTCTGAGACCAAGGGTTGAAAAAGACTAAAAACTGATTTTAACCATAAAATATATATATATATATTATATATATATATATATATATATATATATATATATATATATATATATATATATATATATATATATATATATATATATATATATATATATATATATATATATATATATATATATATATATATATATATATATATATGTATATATATATACAGTACTGGACAAAAGTCTGAGACCAAGGGTTGAAAAAGACTAAAAACTGATTTTAACCATAAAATTTTATTCAATGAACAACCATATCAATTTTTTCCAATATAATTCATATTAGTAATTCAACATAATTCAGAACACAACAATTTATTGTCAGCATCACTGATGATGTGAAGAAAACTGATGAGTAATACAATTGTCATATATGTAGTATGTTGCACCTAAAACTTCTTTGAACTTTATATGAACCATGCACTATATTATTCGGTTTTGCACAAAACACCTGACCTGATTAAATCTGGACAAAAAGAAAAAATTTAATAACTTTTTAACAGATAAAGATTTTTTATTTCGGAAAAAAGATAATTATAGATAAAAAATATTATCATTCAAATAAAAAAAAAAAATTTTTTGTGAAAAATTTTTTTGTGTGTAAGTTGATAGCATTTTGTACGCGCAACCTCTTTTTGCTTAATAGTTCTTTTAGGCGCTTTTTTCTTTTTGTAATATTTGATGTTTGTCTTCTATTTTATCGTTCTAAATATTGTTGATTTATACACACCAAATTTTTTGGCAAGAGCACGTTGGCTTAATCTATGGTGATAATCAATTGAATTTTTTAAAAGTGTAACTTTTGCTTTGATCATTTTTAACACCGGTGGTTTACTTTTAACTTTCCATTCAGGTTGTATTTTAGTCTCCATTCTTTTTAAAATATTATAGCAGGTTGATCTAGTGTTTAACAATCTGTGGTTTAGTCCAAGACGAATGGTTTTTCTTATATTTTCTTCTTTTGATGTGTTAGCTTTAACCATTTTTAATAAAACTCAAATTTCAAAATAATTTCATATTATAGAGAATTAAATTCTCTACAAAATGACATATCACATCATGTGATAAAGCTATTAACAAATTAAACAAGAATGACTTGAAATTTGTCCAGATTTAATCGGGTCAGGTGTTATATATATATATATATATATATATATATATATATATATATATATATATATATATATATATATATATATATATATATCCATTGGGAGTCAGGCTATTTGTCAGTCGTTGTAGCAGCACTCCCTTGCGAGTCAGGCTATTTGTCAGTCGATGTAGCAGCACTCCGTTGCGAGTCAGGCTACAAGATAGTCGATGTAGCAACATTTACGCATGTTTTAAAAATGATTTTTAATAAAACAAAAACAAAAACACTGCTAATTAAAAAAAACCTTTTAGTCGTTATTATTGCGGTTTTTTAAAAAATTTTTAAAAAACAATAAAATTTAATGTACTTCCGCATTAATTTAATTGCTTTGACATTTCGACGACAATCAAATACAGCTTAAGAGACGAGGTAATTAAAATTGTAGTCAAAAGAGACTTTTTTTACATTAAAAGACTCTTTCGACTACACTATAAGGATATATATATATCCTTATAGTGTAGTCGAAAGAGTCTTTTAATGTAAAAAAAGTCTCTTTCGACTACAATTTTAATTACCTCGTCTCTTAAGCTGTATTTAATTGTCGTCGAAATGTCAAAGCAATTAAATTAATGCGGAAGTACATTAAATTATGAATTAAAGTATTATCTTATATGAATAAAATACATATATGTAATATATGTATAATATATATATATATAAATATATATACATATATGTATATATACATATATGTATATATATACATATATGTATATATATACATATATATATATATATATATATATATATATATATATATATATATATATATATATATATATATATATATATATATATATATATATATATATATATATATATATATATATATATATATATATATATACATATATGTATATATATACATATATGTATATATATATACATATATGTATATATATACATATATGTATATATATATATATATGTATATATATATATATATAATATATATATATATATATATATATATATATATATATATATATATATATATATATATATATATGATATATATATATATATATATACATTTATATTATATATATATATATATATTATATATTTGTATATATATAATATATATATATATACATATATATATATATATATATATATATATACATATATATATATATATATATATATATATATATATATATATATATATATATATATACATATATATTATATATTTGTATATATATAATATATATATACATATATATATATTATATATATACATATGTATGTACATATGTAATATATGTATATTATATACATAAATATATATTATATATTTGTATATATATAATATATATATGTATATATATATATATATATATATATATATATATATATATATATATATATATATATATATATATATATATATATATATATATATATATATATATATATATTACGGTGGGGTGAAAACGTGAAAAAAAAATTATTTTGATTTGCTTGACTTTGGGTAGTTATTAAAACTTGCTCTGTGATACAATCAATTACTCCGTTAAAAAAAAATTAATTTAGGTAACGTCTTGAGGTTCCACAACCAACTTCAAAATTTAACCATTTATAAGCATTTACTATCCGGTATTTTTTTATTGTAGTTCACTTTTATACGTATTCACGTGCGTTTTTCCTGTCTAGAGTAAACAAACAGCGTTTATTGCAAAACATTTTATTCATATAAGATAATACTTTAATTCATTTATAATAACAATTCATATGGCTTTAACCAGGAAAAAAGTATCTTGTGTCATTTTTGATGCTCCCTCTTAAATGCCTGACAATCAACTACCTACTTATGCAGATGTTATGAAGTTTTACAATCTGACAAAACAGAAACTTAAATATGAATTGAACAATAAAGATCCACTACATCACAATGTGGCAGAAATAGTGACAACAAAAGTGGAACAAATATGGGACAAAGCTCCTATACCACATGTAAGCCACCGCCGTGTCCAAGAAATGTTGAACAAGTACCACAAGACGTTCATGAATTTGCTGAAGCCATATAAGTCTAGAAAAGACTCCGGACCATACCGAGAGAAAATATCTCAGTTTAAAAATGAATCCAAAAAACTCTTTGACATTTGCTCCTGCAAGTGTTCTTTCATATCTCAGTGTCAGTAAGAAAAGTCAAGAAATATACCCGCAATTGAACGTGATTTTCTAGAAGATCAGCGGGTCCACAAGATATGATCATTGCTAAAGTTGATGAGGCCGAATCTATCAAATTGCAAAAACGATATATTCGTAAAGAGTTGACGCAGAGGCAGATTTGCAGCAAATCTGACATTGATGACATCAGTGAGAAACAGTCAGATGTTTGTGAGGAGTTTTCTTCTACGGAAGAGAAAACTGATGCTAGCGATGACGAATCTGATGACGATTGTATGCCGGATCCTAATGAACAATTTAGAAAGTGACAAGCAGATGAGAGTTAAGTTACCATCTCTGGCGTTAGCATGTGATCGACATGGTGTATCCGACAGGGCCGCAGCAGGAATCGCCAGTGCTGTTCTTCAAGATGTTGGAATAATCCACGAAAGGGATGTTTCTAAAGTGATTGACAGAAGTAAAGTGCGACGAGAGTGTTGTAAAAAACGTGGAACATTATGTGCCAATGTCAGTAACACAATCACTGGGCTATATTTTTATGGAAGAAAAGACAGTACAATAACCCTTATTAAAGAATGTGATGGGAAATTTCATCGAAAACTAACAACTGAAGAACATATATCCATTATATCCGAACCAGGATCCATCTATTTTGGCCACATTACACCAATTGCAGGGTCAAGCAAAGTTATTGCGCCTGAGTTGATTGCATATTTGAGTAAAAAGAATGTTGACCTGGGTGGTATAAAAGCTGTAGGTTGTGACAGAACCGTTGCTAATACAGGCAATCGAGGAGGTATCATTCGATTACTTGAAGTGGCGTTGAACAAACTGCTGCAATGGTTCGTATGTCAGCTACATGCTAACGAATTACCGTTAAGGCATTTGTTCGAACATCTAGATGGACCTACCAATGGTCCAAAAGGATTTTCTGGTCCAATCGGAAAATCATTGGTGGCATGTGAGAAGCTTCCCGTTGTCAAATACACACCCATAAACTGTGTTCTACCGACAGGTTTAAATTCTGACGATTTAAGTACAGATCAAAAATATCTGTTTGACTTGTGCACCGCTGTCAGTGTTGGCGTTTGTCCTGTAGGCCTTTCACTTCGCAATCCTGGTGTTATCAATCATTCAAGATGGTTAACAATGGCTAATCGAATACTACGCCTGTATATAGCCACAAGATGCCCATCGGATGAATTGAAGACAATGGTTACCTTCATCATAACAGTTTATGCACCAGCATGGTTTGAAATAAAAAATACTTCTTCATGTAAAGATGGCGCTCGACATGTCCATAATACAATACTGAAATCACGCTACCTCACAGACGAGCTGAAGAAAGTTGTTGATCCAGTAATTCAACGCAACGCATTTTTTACTCATCCAGAAAACCTGTTGCTTGCGATGCTTACCGACGAAAAATCAGAAATACGCGAGTTGGCTCTGAGACGTATAATGAAATCCAGGAAGCAGAAGCGCACGAGTTCAGTTAGATCTTTCTGTGTGCCAGTAATCAATTTTGAAGCTACCAGTTACATAGACATGATCGATTGGCACAAAACTCCAATCACAGAGCCTCCAATTGTAATGGACATTGGTGACGATACTTTTTTAAACATGATCCGGGAAAAAGATACACCAAGACTGGATTTCGCCCGCTATCCTTGTCACACTCAGTCGGTAGAGAGGCATATTAAGCTAGTTACAGAAGCTTCCCAAGCGGTTTGCGGTCCAGAAAAACGCGACGGATTCATAAGAGCACGTTTGGAATCGAGATCAAAAATGCCGAAACTGGACACTAAAGCACAACATCATTTGTAGCTATAAAAACATGTTTGACTAGAGTTTTCATGTGTTTTTCTTTTCAAATATTTAGTTCTATTTACTTGTAACTTTCGTATAGACTGTTAAAAATGTATACTGCTACACAAATATGTTGTCATATATAAACTTGAAATTTCAAAAACTATTGTTTTTTATTTGAAATATGCCTATAATTCAGGTCAATTGTGGAACCTCAAGATATCCTTTAAATCGTTTGATTGTTTGCCACATTACTAATTGCATATGTCAGCAAATTTTTATAGCTATCCAACCAAGATATTCAACAAAAAATTTTTTCACTCCACCCTAATATATATATATATATATATATATATATATATATATATATATATATATATATATATATATATATATATATATATATATATATATATATATATATATATATATATTTATTTATATATATTTATATAATTAAATTATATAAATGTATATAAATATGTGTGTGTATGTGTGTGTATGTGTGTTTGTGTGTGTGTGTGTGTGTGTGTGTGTGTGTGTGTGTGTGTGTGTGTGTGTGTGTGTGTGTGTGTATACTGCTGAAATTTTTTTTTTTTTTCATATTCCAACTGTTTTTTCTTTATATAAAAAATATAAAAATTTTATTTAGCATGAGCTAAAAAAAAATTAAATAAGTCTTTTTTAACAATTTGCCACTCTCTCACTTGTTATTATATGTCATAACTTTTGTATTCAATGAGATTTTATTTAAAAAGAAAAAGAGAAATGAATGAACTTTTAAGTAGAAGTATGATTTTTATAAAGCAACATTCTATTGTATTTTTATAAAGCAACATTCTATTGTATTTTTATATTGTTGTTTAATTAGATCATGTTTATTTTTTTTATTAGATCAATTGATTAATGTTATAACAATAGTATATTATTACTTATTTAATCATTATTATCACATATTTAATAACTAAATTATTAAATAAATATAAATATAATTATGAAAATTAGATTTAAGCATTGGGTGCTTAAGTGTTTTTTAATGACTTCAATCCAGACAGGAAAAAAAAAAAATTTTTTTTTTTTTGACATAGTGTTTCTTCATCGTATATAGATTGTACCTACCCTAACCCATAGTTGGTATATGTAATAATACCTTTGCAAATTGTTTAGTATAACTTTATCAGTTTTATGCTAGACTAAGTATGCAAAGGTTGAAGGCATTGTAAATTTTGTTTGTATGATGTCAAACTATTCAAGTATTATAAAATTAGTGAAATACTTTTGAATTTCTTTGAAATACACATAAGAGCACTATGAAATATACAAACACTTTAAAGTACAAACATAGAAATAATTTGTTTTTGTAAATTTATTCTAGAGCATGTATACATATATGGAAGAGCACTACACTAGTATTTCTGGGGACCAATTGTTTATCTTACAAAGTTATCAATCAATTCATAGCATCATTCCACAGCTGTCGCCAATTAGTACTTCGTTTTTTTTACAGATGTTCAAAAAGACAAAAAAAATTGATAGAAAAAATAAACAGAAGCTTGTGCTTCAAGATCGTATTCTAAGTTCAAGTGGTGAAGAAGTCTTTGTTGGTAAATTTTTTTTCAGTTTCCTTGGATATGTTTTCTTTCTTAAAATTAGCATTACAAGATTGTTGAAATAAAAAATAAGTAAAAAGTAAAAAATTTTTTGTAGATTCAATCCTGCCAATGTATTCTCGAAAGTTAGTTCAAGTTGTCTCTAAATCATCTGAAAAGGTTTCTTTAAAGAAGGTTATCAGTCTTGTAGGTGACATGCCATTAATGGCTTATAGAAATAGATACACATTGCAGTGCAACAAGCGATGGAGAACTAATGAAAAAAATGTAGCTGGTAAGTTTTATAGAATTATATTTTCAATAATTAGTTTCATTAATTTTTATAAAACTAGTTATAGAAAATATTATATAACTTTTAATAAAAAGATAATTCATGTGATTCATGTTAATTTGTGTTTTTATTTCATTAGTTTTATTTGGTTTATTTTAAGATTATTTTTGTTTTTGTTCTTGTTTTCAAGAACTAACTTATAGAAAACCAGCAACACCTTGATGGGTCATTCTTTTTCTTCTTTTTAACCAAGGACTGATGCTGACTCATCAAGAAGTCTATGCAGAATTATCTATGAATGTGTATTACATGGAATAATTTTAATGTTTTTTTCTCTAGTATTGTGCTGTTCCTTAGATTCAATCGAAGATAAGAAATACTTCTTCTTGTCTAATAAGCTGCAATGTAATAAGTGCTTGTCTAAAACTGATAAATTAAAACACATATTTTTTTGGTTTAAATTTTTTATTTTTTTTGATAATCTTTTATCAAATGAGCCATATGTAAAAATATGCATGTTAGATGAGTTCTTGAGATTCCTTCTTAACATAAAAATTTTGAAGGGTCCTAATAAAAATTTTTTTTAGAGCTATGCCAACCAGGTACCCAAAAGATGCAGAACATTAAACTAATTATGAAAATATTATTTTTATTCAAGTTTAAAACTATGAAAAATCTATTTATTATTTTTTTAAAAAATCCCTGTTTTCAATATAATTTGTAAAAAGGCAGCAATTTTAGGTACAATTTTGCAACTTTTTTTTTTCAATAAAAATTTTTTATAAAATAAAGTTAATATTTTCAAAACTAACAATTTTAAAACTAGCAAATTTACAGCAATTCAAAGCACAGGCAAACCTAGGTTTGAAAATTTTTTAAATCGCTTCATCCTACTCTATATAAAAATATGCATAGTAGCTCCATGCTACTATATATATACATGCATATACATACATATATATATATATATATATATATATATATATATATATATATATATATATATATATATATATATATATATATATATATATATATATATTTAAAATGCTAAAGATAATAAAAATGTATTTTTGTGAATGTATGTAATGTGAAAATATTGAATCAAATAACTATTGTATTTGTTACTTTTAATGTGTACATATATATATATATATATATATATATATATATATATATATATATATATATATATATATATATATATATATATATATATATATATATATATATATATATGTAGACCATATGGGTAAAACCACAGATATCATATTTTTCTCATTTTGAGAAAAATGATATTTAGTGTTTAGTGACATTAGATATCTGTTTATTAATAAGTTATTTAATTAAAAGTATATCTTTATGACGTTTTAGTCCTTTTACAATATAAAAATGCAGTTTTTGTGCTAAATACAAGAATTATTTATTTACAGTTTTCTTTTGAAAATAAGACACTCATTTTGGACATTAGTGGTTTTTCTGTTGTAAACTCGTCAACTCATAAATTCCATTAGCTTGTAAACTTTTAGAGCACTTACTTTGCTTAAAGTAAGTGCTCTAAAAGTATTTAATGCGTCTATTTTTTTCTTTGTTAGATCATAGAATGAGCAAGTGTCCTTTCTAGGATATATCCAAATGAAACATTCAATTTTGTATTGAAGATTTTATAACTTTCATATGAACACCTCTGAAAGATAATTTTCTTTAAACATGTAGTACATTTTGAAAATATTCAAGTCTTCTGGAAGGTAAAACCTGCAAAAAACCTGCTCTATCATACTCATGCTTTCAGCAGAAAAAATATGATTTCTGTTTTTATGACATCCTCTCATATCTTTACATGGTAAACCTAATGGTTAAAAATAGTAATTTATATATGTATGTTTATATATGTATATATGTTATATCCTTATTTTATTTCAACTTTCAATTTTATTATACTCAACTTAACTTCTTTGCGCAGGGGCCTTGCTTGTCAAGGTTTGTGTTTCGGAGTTAAAGAGTTGAGAGAGGTTACCACGATTTACAAAAAAAAAATAAATAAATAAATAAATGAGTAGCCTCCTTGACTGTAGTGGCCCCTAGGGCCTTGGGGAGGTGAACTATTAAAAAAAAACAAAACACATTGTTAGAGATAAGAGTTCTACACACAGATGTGTGTAGAACTCTTATCTCTAACAATGTTTAAGTGGTATTTGTATAAATAATTATGAAATTGAGGTTGTTCCATAATTACTTTTCTGCTTCGTTGACGCTTAATGCTATGAACAGAAATAAGGGAAGAAATATACTAATCTTGCTCATACTTTGTTTTTAAATTGTTAAAATACAATATTAACTTTATTCTTTCATCATATGTAATAACTTCAAAACACTTTAAATAAACGCAATTGGTGTTCCTGTAACATTATTTTTTAATCTTTGATTTCCAGCAAACTTTCTTTACCTCCCTTTAACTCATTAAAGGGAGGGAAAGAGAGTTTGCTAGGGATGTAGTATTGTAGAGTTGTTTAGATCTGCCATATTTTAAAGAATGTAAGTTGATCACGTCATATAAGATTTACTTTATTATTGGTTTAGATGTAAATAACTTAGACAACTGCGTTTTTTACTTAGTAAACATTGGACAACAGTGGTTGTTTCAAAGTTGCTCTTTTTTTTAAATGACCATAGAGCTTTATAACAGTTTTTTTGTTATGATTTTTCAAATTTAAAATAACTTAATACCAGTATGTTATAAAAATATCTTAAACTTGAAACTTTCTAAAAGTGGACATCTGTGGTTTTACCTGTGTGGTCTTTATATATTTATTTATTTTAAAAAGTTGCATAGATAATGTATTTAATATACAATACTTTTTTTTATAAAATAAACTATTATTATTGTACAATTACTTAGATTTAAAGATGAAGAAACGTTCTCTTATTCCTGGAGATTTTCAATCAACGCTAGAGTGCACTTTAGATACTGTTAACGAGGAAAAGGAATTAAAAGAAGAAAGAAAACCGCATAATTCTCATAACATTTTATTAGAAGATTTAGTCAACCATGAAGATGAAGTTTTCACAATTCTCATTGAAATGTTGGTTTCTTTTTTATCTTCCAAAATCAATGATAAAGTTGAAAGTGATAAAAGTTTAGGTTCTACTATAATTGAAGAGATTAAAGACATAATACATTTTCTTGGTATTCTTCTTGGATTAGAAGAAGTCTCAGGTAACTGGCATGCTAGCAACAAGCTTAACCTTCGGTTATTAAGGTATTTACCATGGTTGTTACCATGGTTACTTTACTTTTTTTTTTTTAATATTTTATTTAATCATTCTTAATTACACTAAATGTAATTGTTAGAAAGTCTGCAACATTTTCTACCCTTTTAATAAATCTTCCGCAACTGCTTGATCGTAGTATTACTTATGGTTCACATTTTATTCAACTTGTGCTCACTTTACTTCGGCTCTGTGTGAGAAGAACATTGACAGATGATGTTTTTATAGATAAAATAACAATCTTACGATTAGAACCACATTTGCAGCATTCGTGGCTAACTATACTTATTATTATTCTTTATAAGGTTTTTTTTTTATTTATTAGTTTTTTACTTCTATTATTTTTGTTGTTGCTGGTGTTTTACGGGTATTCTACTGGTGTTCTACTGGTAATCTACTTTAGATTCTACATCTAAATTATAGAACAATAAAAACATTTTTTTTTTGTGTGCATTATTTTGTAAATTTTTAGCATTCATTTCATGAATATAAAAAAGAAATTTGGGAGCTTGTGAATATAGTGCGCAATACATTAGATGCTCACAATCCACACTACTGTCAAAATGTTTCACTATCAAAACCATTTTCACTTGCCACAATGGCAAGTGCTAAGATACTCGCCAAAAAGGTTAATCGCACAACCCGTCAAAATCCAACTTACAATGAAGAATTTGATGAGCATAATTGTACAGATAATGCCAATGCGTCAGATTCAAAATTGAATGAGGTAAAAGTTAGGAGTGTTGATTTTTTTTTTATTTCAATAAATTTTAGGAAATTTTTAATACCTTAATTGTTTTTTTGTTGTTTTTTTTTAATATAGAAATTTGGTGTGACAGGTGCTCCTATCCAATCTTCTGAGGCAGTTTTTGGATGTCATACAAACGAAGAAGAAATGTTAGAATATACTGTAAAGCATTGTGCAGTTTGTAAACTTGAATTGTTTACTTTTGATGAAGAGTCTATAACACTATGTATGGTTTCATTATTAACATTCATACATATGGATCCATCATTAGCTGCACCTTTTATTATTGATGTCATACAAAGTGTTACTCGGTATTTTTTATTATTATTCTTTTAGTTATATGTTTAATGTTGGTGAAAGATTGTGTTTGAATGTTTATTAACAGGGATGATTTTTAAATGTTTTATAAAAACAATAAAACAGCAAAATTGTATCTGTGTGGTGTATTTGTGGAGTGTGTTTGTGTGGTGTATTTGTGTGGTGCGGAAACTAAAGAGTTTCTAGTTTAGAATAAAGAGATTTTTTTTTTTAATGTTTTTAATATAATTTAATGTTTTCAATATAACTTAATATAATGTTTATTGTTTAAATATAATTTAATATAATATTTTTAATATAATTTTAAATTTTACTTCATTAGTATATTATTGTGAGTTATGTATGTAGTTTTATCTTATGTTTTATCTAATTTTATACCTCCATCTCCTATTGCACTCTGTCCTTTTGAAAAAAAAGGATAATAAAAAATATCCTTAAAAAAAATGGAACTTACTTTTATTTGAAATTATTTAATTACTTTTTATATTACCCAATATTGTACTGTTACTGTCAATAATAGCAAAAGTGTTTTCTCAACCTTTCCTATCAGCCACTTTTGTGTTCTGAATTGGGTGGTGTGGGTGGCTTGTTTCATATTCTACATCTTTAGTTTGTGTATTTTAATGTTTACTCCTTTTTTTCATCTTTTTGCTATAATGACTCTCTTCAATTTTATTTTATGCTGGATTTTAATCAGAATCTTACTATATCTTGTTAAATGTTTTTGTACATTTAATTTTTTTGTACACAAAAAAAAAAGTAGATAATATGGGGTAGTGGTGTAGTGGCAGAGTGCTTGCATTGTAAGCATAAAGTTTTGAGTTTTATTGCTGCCACATCTATGGTAATACCAAACTTAACTTGTTTCTCCACACAGCAACCTTGTTTATCAAGGTTTGTGTTTAGAAGTTGAGGAGTTGAAAGAGGGTTGCTAACCACAAGAAAAGAAAAAAAAATGGAGCCCCCTTACCTGTAGTGGCCCCTTGGCCTTGGGGAGGTGAATAACAAAATATAAATATAAAAAACTACTTGGTAATAAGTATTAAGTATATATTTTAGTATAAAAGTAATTTCTCAAATTAATAATGAGTTTTTTATTTTTTAATAAAAATTTTAAATACTGGTCTACTGTTCGGTGTAGTTATAGAGGTATTTAAATTATTCTAATTTGGATTTAGCATGATTTTGTCAGCGTTTTACATCTAAACAAGAACTTTAGATGTTATAATTTTTTTTTACTTTAAGTTTTTATAATGTTTAAAGAATCATTTCTCTTTTTTTATACATGTAAAAAAATATTTTTACTAACCCTAAAAGTGAACTTAAAGAACACTGTTTTTGAGTCTGAAAATCAATTTCGCTCAACAGTGTTGACTTGATTTTAGTTGAAAAATTTTGAAAAAGTTCGTCAACCCTCAACGATCCTTTTGAAAAAGTTCGTCAACCCTCAACGATCCTTTTGAAAAAGTTCGTCAACCCTCAACGATCCTTTTGAAAAAGTTCGTCAACCCTCAACGATCCTTTTGAAAAAGTTCGTCAACCCTCAACGATCCTTTTGAAAAAGTTCGTCCTCATCCAAATTCCAATAGTATGATAATTTAAGAGATTAAATAAAAAAAACATTTTTTATTTTATGTTACGACAAAATTTTAAAAATTTAAATATTTATATTTATTTTTTTTGTCTTATCAAAATTCAGATACCTGATACTGATCATTTAATCGAAATATGTTGTAGTCTGCAAAATATCATACAGACGCTGTAATATTTTAAAATCACCATAACTTACTAAATATTTAACAAAAATATTTAACATAAAAGTAATACGGATATAGCAGTGTAGAATTTTAATTAGTAAATTTTTTTTTCTGAGTAATTGTCTATGAAGATTAACTTCAATGAGTATATATTCATATTATATTATATATTAGTTGTTATTTAATCTATTGATTGTTTATCTTTTACTCACAGAAAAGCACAGATTCCAAGTTTGACTCCTGATTCAAAGTACTTATTTATTAATAAGTTTGCAATTTTTGATTTATTTTATTAAGGTAAACTTTAATTGACTATAACAGTTACAAATTTATTTAACAAACTAATTTATTTTTGAACAGGCGAAATCCCACAATGACTTCCACATCAAGTGTAGCAATACAATTTCTTCGCTGTGTTTTTTATAAGTTATCATCAAACAGATTATTTTTGGAACTGTTTCGAGTTGATAGTGAAAGTATGTTTTATTATTATTATTATTTTTATTTATTTATTTTTTTTTTTTTTTGCTGCTTTTAAAAAAGTTTTATTTTTTTCATTGCAGAATGCTTAAAAAATAAAAGTATTAGAAAAGATTTATATATTTTTTTTAGATGATGAGTTATTTTTAAAGATGGCAGGTTTGTTGCAGGACAGTTCCAGTTTAACTCAACTGGACCCTTTGAAACTTGCACTTCAAGTAAATATAATTGCTGTCATTTTGTAAAGAGTTTTTTGATTTTAGTCAAAAGTTAAAAATTTGTGTTATTTAGTAAGTTATTAAGTTTATTTTAATGATGCTAAACAGAAAACATGAACACCTAGCTAAACTTATTAGCGTGATGAAATTTGATAAATTTTGTTCAAAAAGTTAAATAATTACTATTTTTAAAATCACAAAAATTTTGATGGTGTTATTATTGAATAGCAAAGTTAAAAAAAAAAAATACTGTAATAACAGGCTCAGCAATGTTTGAGAACAGGCTCAGAAAATGTTTTAATTTTTTTGATGTTTTTTAATAGTTTATGACCAGTTAAATTGTTAAATAAAAAATCTATAGTTTCTACTGCTTCCTCCTTATGGCAATCTTTTACTGAGACTTTATCTGTAAATATTCTCAAATTATTTCCCTTTGTTTTGCGGAGTATATTCGACAAAAGAATCAAAAGTATAATTAAAGAGTAAATTTCCTTTTATTAGTTTAGTTCTTAAATTTCTATCAATGAAGGATGGTGTTTCTTTAATAATTAGTCATATCATCCCTCATTAATAAAAGTCACATCATCCTTAGTACATTTTTCAGTATATTCCACAATAGTGTGGAATGTACTAAAAAAAACGATATCAAAGTTACAGACATTAAATTCTATTCCACAGCAATGCTTCTTGATTCAAAATGATCAATCTGTTGCAATTCTTTCTTTTGTGACCTTTTTTTAAATCTGATTTATTCTGGTTGTTATGTAAACATTTTTGTGGTTTAAGTTTATTTTTTACATCAGCATTGTCAAATGCCAACCTGGATTTGTCAAAAAAAAAAAAAATTAACATTATTTTTTTTGTAAACTTTTATTTAATTTTTTAGGATTTGTTAGATAGTCGTTCAGCAGATTTGATAATGGTATTCTTACACAATATTTTTGTGTATACCAGGTGTGTCATTAACACTCATACAAATCAATGGAGCTCCATGCAGAGTGTTTTTAAAGATTTTTTAAAGTTCTTACCAACAGTTATGCCACTTGCTGTAAGCTTTTTTATATGAAATTGATTTTTATAGTTAATAAATGATAAAATTTAATTAGGGTGGGTCTAGAAAATTCAAAAATCAAAATTTCCAGATGTAAACCCCTCAAAAGTTTCCTTTTAGTGTCAATAAGAAAAAACTGTTTATAAATGATTTTTTTTTTTTTTTTTTTTTTTTAGTGTATTTACCATAAAATTAGTCAATTACTGATTTTTATAGGTCTAAATGCAATGACAACAAGACAGAAATGTACATTTAGCTACTTTGACAGTATAACAATAGTATACCACAAATAAACCTTTCATCTGAAAAATAAACTTTAGCTTATCTCTTTTATAATTATCTCTTTTATAATTTAAGAGATGGAAAATTATCAACTAGTGCTATTGCAACAGCTACAGAAATATATAAGAAAAAGTGCATATCCAAAAGTGCAAAGATTAAAAAGCAATTGAAAGAGAGAAAAAAAACAAGGAATTATTTATTCTGATAATCAGTAGTTTCTACAACAAAGTAAGCATGGTATTTAACACAGAAGTCAAAGTAGAAAGTCAAACAACTGAAAAAACTGGGCAGAAAAAATATTTCAGACAATCAAGTAAGATCAGCTTTTCAGATCAGATTCAAATAAGATTTGGATTGAGTAATTGTTCAGTAAGTGTGAACTGTGAAGTTTTTGTGCCAGCTACAACATAAATATGTCTTCAGTTTGTTGAAATAGTTGGGCAAACAGCAAATCTGTTGTCATGATTATCACAACAAGTTTTGTCCCTCCCTAAGTGGCAACCATCTATTGGGATGGGAATTTGATAGGAAAGGCACACAAAAGTAGATCAAATTTCTGTTGTGATTTCTGGAATAAATTTTGAAAAACCACTGGGAGTGTCAGAATTCAAAATGGAACAGGTAATCCACAACCAAAGCCTTTAATTTGTTGAAAGATTGGACAAATCAAAACATTGCCTTTCAATACTATGCTTGTCAATACAGGACACATCAAAGATACTTACACTTTGATAGTAGAGTAATTGAATCGTAATGTACTATACTTGTTCAGAAATTTCATTATTTAAATGATTTAAAGCAGCATTGGAAAAAATTGACTCAAGCCAAATTCCTAGAAACTGAAATTCTGCATAAATTGGACATTTCGAGCACCAGCTGGAACTCATCAACCATGATAGATGGTAACGTTTAATTAAAAATTTTAATTAAAAGTTTATTTAATTTGCAATCAGTTTTAACGAAAATTGAATTGAATGGGTTGAGTGAAGTGTGTTTGTTTGGCTCAAACATTCTAATTTTTACTAATAATAAAATAAATAATAAAAAATAATATGGTTTTTACTGTAAGATTTTATATCAAAATTCAAGATCAATATAAATATTTTTTATTGAAAACAGCTATTGAGTTTAGTGATCAAAACAGAGTTTTATGGTTTTTAAGAAGCTAAAAGTTTAAAGACCAGAAGCATTTCCAGATTCGTTATCATGCAATTCGTTATCACTTAATTCGAGCTTTGCAATACTAATAAATCTACATTGAGTCAACTGAAAGTTAATTATAGAAAAAATTGATAAGGAAAAATTATATTAAAATCTGTTTTGCAGTTTTTTCTTAATTTTTTTTAATCTATTTTTTAATCATCATTTATTAATGATTTTAATTCATTTTTTCATAAATTCCATAAATTTATATACCTTAAGTGCTTTCTATACAAAACTAGTTGAAATTTGTAATTAAGTGTGAACTTGGAATGAAGAAAACTAGTTCAATAAAACTAATAAAGGAATCGAAAAATATTTTTTTATTTATATAGTTATGATTATAATAAGATCTTCAAAACTTAAGGCCTCCTCCTCAGCCTCCTGCCGGTTGGCTAAAGCTCATCCAAAAATTCTGAAATTTTTGCCAGAGCTAATTGACACCAAAAAGAAACTTTTGAGAGGTTTATATAGAGAGGGGAATTATGATTTAAAGACCTAACCATATATATTGCATTTACTGATATAATATTTAATAAATCATTATGTAAGTATCTATGGTTTTGTAAATAAAGTGCCCATGTCACTTTTCTGTTAAATTGACTTTTTTGGACCCTAAATCATAAAAATATATGAGACTAACAGAAACTGTTAGTTTCTGGATCAAGAAGTGCATATGTCACTTTTTTAAATTCTAAATATGTCTGAGAATTACATGAGCAAACATAGGATAATTACAAAAGTTAGTTCAAAAAAGTTCAAAAAAGACATAAAAAGTAAAAACAGTAAGTAGTTCTAATAATTATAAATAGATGTAAATAAATGTAGTTCTAGTAATTATAAGATCATTATAAGTAATTATAAAATCATATCATATAAGTAATTATAAGATCATCTAAGCATCTAAGAATCATATTAGTAATTATAAGATCATCTAAGCATCTAAGAATCATATAAGTAATTATAAGATCATGATTATACAATCAATAATTACATCATTAGAACAATTTTACTAATTTCTTATTCATATTTCATTTTATGTAAGATATGCGCTAATCTGTTAAGTACATAATATAGTGTAACGGTTACTTAATGAAACAATATTTACTCACATATTTTTTTGATTCTGGTTTATAGTTTGATTGATCATTCTATATTTATAAAATTTAATAAAAAAATATAAATCCAGGTTTATAAAATAAAATAAAAAAATTTCCAGGTTTTAAATCTGTTCAATAAACAAACATATTCTACTAACATATTCTAAACATCAATATTTCTAAATGTATTCTACTAACATATTCTAAACATCAATATTTCTAAACATATTCTACTAACATATTCTAAACATCAATATTTCAATTTATATTAAAAAAAATTGTACAAAAATCACAAAATATTTTATACTTGTATTTTATACACAAAATATTTTATACTGAAAAACTATTTATATTCAAATATTACAAATAAATGCATTTCTTATTTTATTGAGTTCTTTTATAGTTGTATGCAATTTTGGGTACCCATGAAATATTGCGTAGTAAACTGCTATTATAATTAGACATATAATGTGTGTTTGTGTATATATCTATATATTAGTGATATACCGATATCACTTTTTTGGCCGATGCCAATACCGATGCCGATGGATGAGAAAAGGCCGATACCGATGAATTAACTAATTATTAAAAATTTAAAAATTTTTAATAGTTAATTCATCGGTATCGGCCATACAACTTTAAATTGATACTGGTAAAAAATACTTGGAACCAAATCAAAGCCAAACAATTATTTTAATCTTTGTTAATCAAGGTTTGTGTTTCCAAGTTATAAAATTGAGAGTGGGTTGTAGCCATAACTAAAGAAGCCTCCTCAATTAAAGTGGCCATCGTAGCCTCAGGGAGGGGAATTGAAATAAAAAAATAAAAAATATAGAGTTGTACTGACTCTCAAATCTTATGGCCTTTCTCTTCCTTCCATTCTAATTAAACAGGTTAACCCATTGTTAGACATTCAAACTACTTCATCTTCAATTGCTCATAGTCATATCTCAAATAAACTCTTCTACGGCTTGTGGTCTAGACAAAATTCCTGTTACAGTTGTACAAAATTGTTCTTCAGGACTCAATTTTATCTGAACTATTTATAAAGTACTTGACTGATTCTTGTTTTCCTGCCTGCTGGAAAATGGTATCTCTTGTTCTATTTTTTAAAAACTCTGGTAAACATACTGACCCCTCCAAATATTGTCCAATCAGTTTTCTTTCTGTTATTAGCAAGGTCTTTGAGTCTTTGATAACATATTTCTCATATTTCAACTTTAGTCAAATAACTTGCTGTCAGACAACCAATACGTGTTTCAATTCTCTTGCTCTACGGCTGACTTGCTAACTGCTGTGACCGAAAGATTTTATTGTGCATTAGATGGCTTAGACGCTTTTTACAAAGTTTGACATGTTGATCTTCTCCATAAGCTTGTTTCATATGGTGTATCTGGGAAATTTTTGAAATTATCAAATCGTTTTTTTTTCTAACCGCCTTAATAAAGTCAACCTTGAAGGTCAACACTCTTCTTTATTTCCAGTAACTTCTGGGGTACCTTAAGGTTTTATCCTTGGTCCTGTTTTATGACTTATCTTCATTAATGATTTTCCTGACAACCTCACATCTAAAGTAGCTCTTTTTTCTGATGACTCAGCTTAATACTAATGTCTTGACAAAAATTCTTTTTTTTATGCTTAGAACATATTATATATATATATATATATATATATATATATATATATATATATATATATATATATATATATATATATATATAGTATATATATATATATATATATATATATATATATATATATATATATATATATATATATATATATATATATATATATATATATATATATATATATGTATATATATGTTTTTAAATTGAAAATAAAAAAAGTCAATATTTTCAAGTATTTTGATAATAATTTTTTTAAACATGTTTTTTATGTAAATTGATTACTATTTTTGAAGTAATTATTAGGTTGACATACTATAGAAGAACTTTTTTGTTCAAAATATTAAGGACTCGTCAAATTTTTAAGGGTCCTGAGCTACCCCTAAAAATATTTTTGGTTCAAAATAATGTTAAACTTTGTGTTTTAGTATTATATTGAACAAATTAAAAGGGTAAAAGCAGGTTTTTTTCAAAAATGTTGTTTTTAGCACCACCCTAATATATATATATATATATATATATATATATATATATATATATATATAATATATATATATATATATATATATATATATATATATATATATATATAAATATATAAAATAATACAGAAAAAATGATAATATAAATACCCATTATATTTAAATGCTTTTTTTTATTAAGAAAAACATGGACTGTGTTCTTGATACAATGTCTTTACTCTTATCTTCTCAAAAGGCTCTTGGAGTGGTAAGTTTTTTCTTGGAGTGGTAAGTTTTTTCTTGGAGTGGTAAGTTTTTTCAGTATTATATATGTTTTAGCTGTGAATGATTCACCAAAAAGAGTGTTTTAATTAGTTCTTGATGAATGGATATCTAGAACAGTCATAAGAGATTTAAAGTGGAAAAACAATACCTTTATGTTATGATAAAATATTCTTTTCAAAGATTCTTATAAGTCTTGTTTTATATTCTTTATTATTTATATATTACTGGTATTTTGTTAAACGTTAAAGCAAAAACAGTGAAATAAAACTTGAAAGAGTATAAATAGTATAATAATTTTTTTATAAAAAAAAAGCATATATATATATATAAAGCATATAAATATATATATAGAGAGAGAGAAGCATTTTATATAGAAACGAAAGAAACAAATACATGTAGTAATGTCTAAACATTGTGTGATTAAATATGTGGTAATGATTAAACATATTAAATATGTGGTAATTGTAATTGGTAATAAATACTCTATAAACAGATTTTAATTATTTTAAATTAAACTATTAAATAAGGTTGCACTTTTAATTCATTTTGATTTCAAAAGAAATTAAGTTTAAGTTAACAGTATACAAAAGTTGTATTTTATTCAAAAGCAAAGTTTGACTTTTTAGGTTTTTTAGTTTAAATAAATCGTTAGGTATCTCATTAATTTTTATTTTCTATGCAGGTCTTGATTGATCACATCGATGACATAATGACTCACATAATAAAGAACTGCACTTTTGGTGCTACCTCTTTGCAGTTATTGTGTACAGCATGTGTGGAGTGTTTTGCAAAGGTGTAGTAAAGATTATAAAAAAATTATTCTTTTCAAATTTTTTAGTTAGATTTTGAATTTTTCTTTTAATTTAGTTTTATAATGACACTTTGTTGGAAAAGTAATAAGGCAAGATCTTGTATGTATGTACTCATACAAACACTTGCCAGATTGTATGTTATATATATATGTGTGTGTGTATATATATATATATATATATATATATATATATATATATATATATATATATATATATATATATATATATTGATTTATATATATATATATATATATATATATATATATATATATATATATATATATATATATATAATATATATATATATATATATATATATATATATGTATATATATATATATATATATATATATATATATATATATTGCATTTATATATATATATATATATATATATATATATATATATATATATATATATGTATATGTATATATATATATATATTGATTTATATATATATACATATATATATATATATATATATATATATATATATATATATATATATATATATATATATATATATATATATGTATATATATATATATATATATATATATATATATATATATATATATATATATATATATATATATATATATATATATATATATATATATATATATATATATATATATATATATATATATATATATATATATATATTTATATATATATATATATATATATATATATATATATACTATATATATATATATATATATATATATATATATATATATATATATATATATATATATATATATATATATATATATATATAACAAGAAAACATTTTTCATATAAATTTTATAATTATCTATTATACATGAATTTTATAACACGAAAGCAAAAAAAAAGATAAAATGATATGCGCAGATTTTTATAAAAAATTTAAAATTTTTAAATTTTTAGGTGATAAATTTTTTAGGTTGACACAGGACAATAATGAGTGTTCATAATCATCTAACTTTTTTAAAACTAATGAGTACATAAACAGTTTTATATTGTGTTGACCTAATTCTGCTGTAAAAACTTTATAGTTTTTTATATATATTTTATTACATAAACATAATGCAATTTATAGTTTTATTCAATTTGAAATTTTTTTAATAAAAGGACAAAAATTCAGTTAAGTTCTCACGTGAGCAGTTGAAGCTAACTCGTAAATTGTGCTTGCTACTTTCATCAGTTTTAACTAATAAATCTAGTATGCCAGAATCATCATTAACAAAACTAATTCAGGTATATTATTTAATTTCATAAATATAAGTATTATATTAAAATAAATAGTCAGTATTATAATAAAATTAAACATGTGTTTAATAAAAATCTGTGAAAATGTTTTTTGGCTAAAAGTTGTGGATTAATATGATCTTGTACTAAAATATATCCATACAACAGATCTATAAATGAACAACTGGTGCACTAGTACTGATGTCTTTTCTAAAGGCTTATTCTCCCCTGGCCTAGCCATATTACATTAAGCAAAAAATGTGACATCATTCCTAGATAAAGGTTGAATTAATTATGGTTTATGTAAATAAATGGCCAGCGTAAAATTTTAAACCCGTTTTGCTGTAGGATATTGCCCTAAAAAAATTAGCACCTACCATGTAAAATTAAAAAAATAGTGATAATAATGGTCTTTTATAAAGTACTGGACAAAATTATAGCACAAATGTAAAATAAAAATTGAATGATAAAAATTTAATAGAGGGCTCAATGGAAAGTTATAATTATTTTTTTATCTGAAGAATAACATTTTACTTTTTACAAAAATGAATGAAAATTAAAAATACATTTAAAGTTAACATGTTTTAAAGTTCACTTAAGAATAATACAGAAAAATAAGCTGGTCAAAATTATAGCACATAGTACTAATTTTAGATTAAAAAAATCAGAATTTGATTTAATATGAAAAAATGTTGGATCCTTTAACTCTAAAAATTCAAGAAATACGATCTGGAACAGAATTTACCAATTTAATGCAAAGATCAATTAAATTCTTGTCCCAAATGTCTTGAATTGCATCCTTCAAGTCATTTGTGTAATTTTTGCTTATGTTGTAATTTTCGAGTTTTTGGTCAATAATTGACCAAAGATTTTCTATCGAATTTGCATTTGATGAAGTGGGTGCCCATTCTAAGAGCCGAATATTCTTCATTGCAAACCATTCCAGAGTTTTTTTTGCTTTGTGACACAGTGCGTTGTCTTGCATAAAATAACAATTTTCAGCTTCAGAATCAAAAAAAGTGTCCATATAGTCAGGTAATTCAGTAATAACTTCTAAATAACGAGAAGCATTCAAACGACCTTCTTAAAACTTCAATTAATCTTATTCCATTTGCTGAAAAACATCCCCATACAGAAATAGTTCCACCACCACCTTGTCCTCTTGTAAAATTAAATGGTAAATTTTTTTCATTAGGAAGGCGATGTACAAACTTATGATTTTTTCTATTTATGATTTCAAAATCTGTTTCATCACTAAATATTACATGATGCCATTGATTTCGTGTCCAATTACCATAGTTTTTACACCAAGTGAGTCTTTTCTTTTTCTGAGCCTTATTTCTATAACAATGTCGTTTCTGTGTGTAACTTTTCAACCTTTTTTCTAACAAACGACAACATACTGTGACCCATTGCATTAGTTATGTGTTTTTTTAAAATTACTGAAAATACTTTGAAAAATTGTAAGGTGTGCTATTTTAAATAATCAACTATGACGCTAGTAGATAAATAAAATATCATACACAACAATGCGTCAATGCATTTAATCATACACACTGTGTGTGTTATAAATTTGACCAACATTTTTTGTATATGTTTGTACAATTGTTCATTTCTACGATGAATAATGAACAAAATTTTTAACTTTATGTGCGCATTTTAAATAACTAATGTAATCACATTGCAAAAATACAGTACCTCTCAACAATATGATTAATGCATACAAAAATTTTACATGACAATCTTATTTTAAGAGGTTGTACTATAATTTTGTCCGGTACTGTATTTTTTTTAGACTTTTATTAAACACATTTAATAAATAGTTTTAACATTTAATAAATTTTAGAGATTAAAATTATTATTATGACTTTTTTTTGTTCAAAATATTTAGTTCTTTAGTCAAGAGTTGGGAACTAAATTTGACTTTCCGAGACAAGTTCACATTCTACCAAAACAAGTTTTGGTAAAGCTTATTTTTATTAAATTTAACTTGTTATTTTTTACAAAACTTAATTTTACTGATTTGATTTATCTTTTTTTTTACTTTCACATTTCAATTAGGCATATTTTACTGTATATTATTAATCAATCTGGTTCTGTCAGTGTTTGCTTTTCATTGCTATTCTTTTCATATTTTTTTCTCTTTTTATGTTTTTTTAATAATTTTAGCTTTAATAAATAACTAAGCATTTCAATCAAGTTTATTTTTTAATTAGTTTAAATTATATTCAATTCTATTTTTTTTTTTTAAATTATATTTAATTCTGTTTAGAAAAACCACTATAGAAAAACTTCAACGAATCCTAAAAATTAATGTTATAATTGTAACTAATATATTTTTATAATTATTTTATAAATATTAACATACAATTTTTATTTTTATGTTAAAAATAATTATTTTTATTGTAATTTTAACGGTTGAGTGGATTAATCCATCTTAGTTATAAAATCTTTTACTAAATTTTTGTCTTTTTGGCTCTTTTTTTTTGTGTTTTGCCTCTTTTCTTTTATCTCTTTGAAACATTTCTTGAACTATCCTGGTCTGTTTTTTTTTTCTATTTCTCTGTTAAGCAGTTCTAACCTAGCTTTTATCTGTTTAAAACTTTTATTTAATTTGTCTAAATCTGATTTTTTTTTTTTTAATTTAATGTCAATTTGTGATGGTCTACGGTTTGATAGCTTCTGTCAATTGTTAACTAGAAAAAATAAACATTTTTTTTATCATTAAATTAGTAATTACATTAAATTAATTAAAGCAGCATGCTTATCAAATCAAATGTTTTTTTTAACTTAAAGATGGAATTTTAATCACTTTGTAAAGGGTTTCTATCTTTTCTATCTCTTTTTTATGATCTAGTTTATATAATTTTTAAGGGTAAAGCAAAGATGTTTTTTCAAAAATTTATTTTTCGGACTGGGACATAAAACATAGGCTGGGATATGAACATTTGATTATATATGACTTAAAAATTTTTTGGTAAAACTTTGTGTAATAATATCTGATATAATAATATATATATATATATTTTTTATGTATTAATGTTTAACCTAATCATTTTTTTGTAACAAATCCTTTTTTTTTTTTTTTTTTCTTTAATTTCTGATTTATAGATATAAATAGTAATTTTCTTATTATTTTTAAATTTATCTTATATTTGAAAAACAAAAATATCTTCTAATTTGAACTTTTCTGACATACTCTGACAGAAAAAACACTATTGATTTATTCATCTACTTTTATTTACAAAAATGTATTATCTGATGTTTTGATAGGTATTATAAAAATTTTAAATGTATTTCAGGGGTGGGACCGCAAAATGTGAACACTTTTCTGATTGTAATAATTAATTTTCTGTTAAATATGAACTATTTTAAATGTTCAATTTTTGTTTTTTTACATATTATATTTTACTTTGTTTACATATTCATTAGTACTTTGTCTTTCGTTTTTTATCAAATAAACTCAACTACATTTAACGAGAAAATAGTAATAATAAAACAAAAACGTTCACATTTTGCGGTCCCACCCCTGTATATCTGAATTTATGATATTATAAAAATTTGCGATGTGTACTTAGTTTTAAAAGCTAAATTCAAAGTGTTTATAAAGTTTGGTGTGACTATCAGTGTTTCTCAACAAATTTGATTCACACAAATACTTATAAATATAGTATAGTGATATACATATGTGCTGTTTTAATCCTCAGTATGCGGTAGTGGTGTAGTGGTAGAGCGCTCGCTTCATAAACGAGTGGTTCCGAGTTCGATCCCCACCACGTCCCTGGTAGTACCGCGCTCAACTCGTTTCTCCGCGCAGCGGCCTTGTTCGTCAAGGTTCGTGTTTCAGAGTTATAGAGTTGAGAGAGGGTTATAGCCACAAATAAGTAGCCTCCTCGTCTGTAGTGGCCTTCTCGGCCTTGAGGAGGTGAATTAAAATTAAAAAAAAAAAAAAAAAAAAAGTTATTAGCTTTTCAATTTTTTTTTTTTTTTACATTGCTTTACAATCACAATATTTTTCAATAAATATTACAATGAAATAATTAGAGTTATCAGTTGTTCCATTTATTTTTCTTTTTATTTAAGAAAACCAGCAACGCTATGGAATGTTTGGAATTAAACCATTATCATGATTTACTTGAGTATATGAAAGCACCGTTACAGAAGCTGAAGGTTTTTTTTTTTGCTTTTAAAACTTGTTTTATTTTGTAATTTTCAAACTTTTTTACACTAGAGTTTAGTTTTTTTAATTTTTTTTTTCTTTTTTGTATTTTACATGAAAAGGATTCAGACAGTGATAAACTAACTGTGGACTCTTTTGAGAGCTATATCACACTTGCAATATCTCAATTACTTGCGTGTTATGCAAACAAAAACTCAAAATCAAAGATCAGCATTAAAATTATGTCAATTTTTGACTCTTGCACCAACGACAGGTAATTGAAGAGATTTTTGTTTTTATTTTGTCTTTTGTTATTTATAATTATAAGTAGTTAAATTGTTTAAATTACATAAGTATTGTACTCTGTATATTCTTAGTGAATTTAATTTATCTTGGCCTTGTGTATATATTCAAATAGATTGACTGATCAAACCGTTTACTTAGACTACCATAAATTTTAGTGTATATTTTCAACTAGGTTCAATTTTAGTGTATATGTTCAAATAGGTTCAATGGTCAAGCAGTTTACTTTGACTACCATGAAAATTTTATGCATGTGCGTTTTTTGGCTTGGATGTATCTTGCAACCATAAATCACTACAACAGAGTGAATAAAGAACAACTTGAGTTCATACCAAAAAAACACTCTCTGCGAATTGCAACACTAATTGATCTGCTATTACGAACTGCACTTGAAAATGAGGTAAATTGAAAATGAGGTAACTTGATTATTTTAACTTTGAATCCTTTTTCAACTTCAAACACATTTTAAAAATTTTTTACTTTATAACAGAATAAAAGTTTCAAGAATTTCACCTGTCTTCACTTCTCTTTTCTTCTTGCTCAAATATGGACAGTGTACATGGAAATAACTGCTGATCCAGAAGCACTTTCTTATATAAGGGAGTTTTGGGCTAAATTGACATCAACAGTTTATACTCTACTACAAACCACATCTGAGGTGCTCAAACCTATATTTTGATATTATCTTTATATGATATATAGTAATATAACAATTATAAAAGTGTGGTGATTATAAATTTATAAAAAGAATAAGTTTTGATTATTTTATTGTGTTATGATTTGAGACATAAATAATATGTATAAAAAAAAGTGTATATGCAGACTAATTTTTTTTTATTAGACTCAATTAAAAACCATGCATTTGTTTTCTTCTATGGTAGAAAATTTTTCTGTTTTATGTCCACGCACATTTTCTCAGGTAAATTCTGCAATGCTTTTTGTTGATGCATACTTGTTTTGCTAAGGATACCATCATAAAATGTTGTTTTTAAAATCAAATTTCACAATTTTTGGAGAGTTTATGATTTCATTTTACTAAATTGTGACGTCAAAACTTATTTTTAATACATTATGCACAGTTCCAAGAATTAGCTAATAATTGCTCATTTTTCTTTTCAGAGTTTAATATGTTGCTACAATCATGGCAAGTAGTAAAAATTAGTTTTTTACTACAGGTTTTTTTAAAAAAGTCCCATCAGTTTCACATTTAGGGGTCGTCTATAAGTACGTACGCTAAAAATTTTGAAATCTGACCCCCTCTCTCCCCCCTGTTGCCATGCGTACTTCTAAGTCCTCCCCCCCCCCCCCTTCCTCTAATTTTTTTTATTTAAAAAAAAAAAAAGTGAAGGAGGTACCTTAGCTACTTTATATGACCCAAAAGCCCTTTGTTTGCAGCACAGGATCCAAATTTAACAAACTTCTTAAAATATATATGCAAATAATAGTTTAAATATAGTTAAATTACCTTTAATCGATGTGTTCACTTGGTCTAGTGGGTAGTTCTACGGACTAAAGGGAAACATCGGCGAGTCAAATTTGTGCTTTTTGTGTTTTAATGATGAATCAAATGAAAATAAACTATACTTGAGATGGACTTTTTTTTTAGGTACCCCTATTTAGTAAGTCCGTTAAAAATGAGTCCTACACGAGATCAGTAATATCGAAAACAAAGCTTAAAACCCAGTGCCGAGAATAGGCTACCCGTACCCCTTAATTTGGGGGGTAGGGGGAAAAGAGACAAAAAAGTTTGTGTCTTTTTGTTAATTTAAGGAACTTTTTATTTTAGCAAAACCTAGCAGTAAAATTTGGGAGATTTTGAGACCCAAATGACACATTTTTAGGGGGGCTTTAGCCACAGCACTGCTAAAACCTGTTTTTTGTTGACTCAAAAAATATATTGCCTGAAATATGCTTTAATCAGAGCCAGTATATAAGGGGTGGCATGTCTGCATGGGCGCCCGCAGGATTTTTTGATGTTCTAGATAGGACACATTTAGCATAGGTATACTTAAGTTTGGAGCTTGCACAAGCTCCAAACATAAGTATGCCTATACCAAATGTGTGAAATTTGTGCAAGCTCTAAAATTTAAGTATAACTATGCCAAATGAGGAGGCCTTACAAAAAATTGGGATAGCGGAAGTCTAGGAACAAAAAAGCCCAAAAATGCTTCCGAAAGTGTATCTGGAACATCAAAAACTTGCAAAAGTCCTATCTGGAACATCAAAAAATCCTGCAGGCCTCTTGCATGAGTGTGAATTGAGGGAAACTCTACCCTCTACCCCCTATACCAAACATCTTTTTATGTTGGCAAACTAGGATCTTTAGACAAAATTTTAACTTTTCTATTGATTAGCTGGTTAATTGTGATAAATTAGAAAATTGATGTACGTACTTATAAATTGAACCAACCCCAACCCCCCATACACCTTCTCCCTCCCCCTATGAGCGTACGTACTTTATGGACGATCCCTTACTTTGACAACAGATATTGTTCAGTATTTATATATATATATATATTATTTATATATCAGTATTTATTTATAAAGTAAAAAATATTTTTTAGTGTTTTCATTTTTTTTTTAATGTTTTTAGTTTCTTAAAAAATTTCTATTGATTTTTTATTAAAAAAAAAAAAAAAGATCGATGACATTGCACAACCTATGTGACCAATTAGTTTTTTTAATTTAACACTAACTAGGAATTAAAAGGTCTCATATCATTTTAAATTATCTATCTTACAGTTTTAAGTTATTAGCTTAGGACAGTAGAATAAGAATCTTTTTTTAATTGCTTTATTCATGAGTGCAAAAAATTCGAGCCAGACTTCTCCCTAAATATAATACAATTGATATAAATATTTTTATGCAATAAATTAGAAGAATACAATATAGTAAAAAAGCATTAGCACATTTTTTGTTTCAATTTTAGAAACTAGTTAAGATTTTAAGAACTAATTTTTCTTCTTTATTTTTACCTTGTTAAGATATTAATTTAAGATTTGAACCAGATAAGATATAAATTTTACCTGAATGATTACTGTATACAAAATTGTTATTTTAAACATTTACATTGTCAATGCCATTCAAGCATATTAATTTTTTGAATACTTGACCATTTCCAACAGTATCTAGCTAAAACAACTCAAAAAAATTTGTTTTTTTTTTAAAAAAACATTACTTTTCTACAATACTCGATTAATTTTGTTTTATTTTGTTAAACATATTTGATATTTCATGTTTTGAACCAACTTTGTATTTATCATTTTTTTCTTTAAGGATTTTAACTCTTCAGAACCAATGATGCATTATGCTCACGTGTCTATGTATCTCATGCACATTTTTTAAAAAAAAAAGCAGATTAGGCAGTTTTTAGTTTAAAAAACTGTTTAGTTAACAAGATATTTGATACATTTTTACATTAGTAGGCACTATCAAAATTTCAAACTGAACTTTATATTAAAAATATTAATTAGAAATATTATCTTTCCAAAGATGCTATTACTATCATGAAAAGAAAAAAAATTTTAAAGAGCCAGAACAAAAGTTGTTAATGATATAAAAATTGAAAAAAAAAAAAATCCTTTTAAAAACAATGTTAAAAAAGCACGTTTGCTTTAATTTTTAAAAAGCATGATTTCAAAATATGACTAAAAACATATAGTCAAGATAAACAAAATTCTGAAGCATTAAAAAAGTGAACAACATAAAAACAAAAAATAACTTTTGTTTAACAAATAAAAAGGTGTTATAGAGATGGTTAAAATATTCTTTAAAATAGTTTCTACAAATAACATGAATTTGGTAGACATAAAACACATAGATAAACACAGATAAACATAAAAAAAAACTACAACCTGATACCTTTTAAAAAGTTACTAACACTAACACCGTTTTTCTGAATCAGTGACCATATAGTTTGAAACAATGTTATAAAGCACTTAATAAAAATGGTTAGTGGTATACTATAACACAGCTGGAAAACTTACAAATCAAAGAATGATATTAGTGAGGAATTCTCTAATTAATAAGTTTGTTATACTACTATCATCAATTTACAAAATGTTTACAAAATCTAATCTTTTTTAAAAAAGAAAAGACATAATGAAACCAAAAAAAGTCTTTTCAATCCACCAAAAAAAATGGAACCAAAAAAAGTAATATCTTTTCAATCCACCTACCAAATGTGACTGATATTTACCCCTAAAATGTCTTCATTTAGAACAGCTAACACAGTGTTAAATAATTTTTCACTCTCAGAAAAGTACGCGTAGATAGCAAAACCATTTTTAAATGGAACAGTGGTATTATCAGCTTTAAAAGAGGTAATATAATTGTCAAACTCAAAGTCTTAGTTGTTTCAAAGAATCCATTTTTATAACCAAATTTTGAATGTATCGTTCTTTTAAAAAATCTGAAAAATCGCAGAAGAATAACCAACTGATACAAAATTAATGAAGTAATAATAATCATATGCCGTATAATAAAGTACAATAATAGTATAAACAAATATATGCAGAGATTTATTCAGATTAATATAATCTGAATACATTCCAGTATATATTATGTATACAACAGACATATGTCTATTATAAATTTTAAAAAAATACTATAACATAGACTACATAATATTTAATCATTAAAACATACATTATAACTATGATATATATATATATATATATATATATATATATATATATATATATATATATATATATATATATATATATATATATATATATATATATATAGTAGTTGAAAGTTTTTTTATACCAAATAGACATAATTATAAGTATGACTTTTTGATGGAACTTAAAGTTTCATGCCATTCCGGCAATCATCAGCTATATACATTTTTTTAATCAAGAAAAACCGTTAAAAATACAAAATACAAAAACAACAATAGAATGGGTTCTGACGTCAAAACAAAACAAAAAGTAATGTAGAAACTGGATTAATCACTGGTATTGAAATTAGCCAGAAGAAATTTGTTTCTATGCCTGCACTTAGATATTATTTCACTCCTTTTATTTAATAAATTTGGATTTCTAGAGAATAAAATTTCATATTTCTCATTTAAGCATAAATTACAAGATTTTTTCGTAAGGTTATAAGCATTGGACTGTTTAATTATTTTCCAATTAACTATAGGATTCAAATTAGCTTCCTTTAATTTCCAAAACTCCTTTGATAACTCAGTGTCATTTTTATACCTGACAATATTAAATGATTTTATGTGATTAGTGTATCTAATCTTGAAAGGTGTTTTACTTATACCGATGTAAAATTTGTTTATAGAAGTTTGGGCAGGATCATTGGAGGTTAAATTAGCTTGGTATATGATGTTATTTGTTTGGCATTTGTTTGCTAAAGGACAGGTCTCTTTATCAAGGCAGTTGCAATTCCTTTTAGTGGTAATTTTGTTGTTGTTTAAAATATGGCGGTTGTGTGCATTTAAGATAGATTTCATATTGTGTTTCTATTGAAAATCTTATCAAGCTTGTGATTAACAGGGAAGTGTTTATCGATAAGGGTTAAAAAGTTTTTTCCTATATTTGTGCTAACTTTTTTGCTGAAAGGGGGGGGGGGGGGGTAAAACCAAATGATGTTGCGTTTACGGTGCTTAGCATGAGTTGAATTTAAGTTAGGATGATAAAAAAGCTTATGAACGAAACCTGATTTTAACAATGCTTCGTTATACATGTCAGTTTTAATTTTGTTTTTAGATGTTGTTTTAAAATACTGTGTGGATGGTTTGAATTAAAGTGAATATAGTTTAAAGAGTTTCCCGGTTTAGAATACGGTTAGAAAGTGTGGTTATTGAGATTTAGCGTGATGTCTAGATTATTTACAATTTTCATGTTGCACTGTATTGATATAAGAAGATCAATTTGTTTAAATATAATGACAATATGTTTTTTA